AATGCAAAAATACAGTTTGCAGGGATATTCTGAGTAATAGTTTAGCAGAAAATAGAACAGGGGGGATATAAGTTCACTCCAGCATTTGGGGAAATGGAGGGAGTAGTACCAGATAAGTGCTGCATCCATAAGAACATGGACAATAGCCCTGCTCTGCTCCTCACCTTAATCTGGGCCACCTGTCAGCTGAGGAGTGCAAACCTCAGCCTGTGCTTTCACAACACAGAGGATCCCACACTCAAACTCCAGTGAGGCAAATTGCTTTTCTGTTCTCTGATTATAGCTGTGCTTGAATCTATTGATTTTCTATTGCCTTTGATGAGTGCTGCTCTCCAAAGTCTATGGGAAACCCTGGCAACTTCAAGAGCAAACAAATAAATTAGTAAAAAGAGATTGCAGACTAAGCCATTAATGACTCTCATTCATCTGTAGGATTGGGCAAAGCCAAATGTGTCATAGATGCTGTGATGATGGCTGCTGTGACACACCAGCAGTGCCATCACTGGCAGCTCAGGCTCACCCAGCCACAGTGAGGATGCTGCATTATCAGTATAAAAGTGCAAGTAAAAATATTAAAAAACCCAAAGATTAAATGCAAAATGTCTTGTGAGAGATGTCAGTGTCTCCTAGTACTCGACAGATGTGTGGTAGCTGGCTGCATTTTTATTTGGCATAACAGGGCACAGTAGGAGTCTGTTCCAACAGTTATTGTCCATGTGAGTGTTTTGGGGACATCCTGATATCAAGAGCAGTGGGTGCCTGTGGGACTCATCCCAACAACCAAATCAGAGCAAGGAACGTGATGTGTAGGGAAAGATGCTTCTGTGCATCTGGAGAGGAACAGCCCTGCAGGCCAGAGGAACTCTGACAGGGATGGTGTGAGTGGGTCTCAGGTAGCAGTCATTTAATTGCTGTTCCTGAAATAGATGATTCTTACCTCCCTATTCATAAAATGTTTAGCTAACACAAATCTTTCTAGCTGGAGGTTTTTTCTGTGAACTGACTGTATGTGTTTGTGCAGGCAAGTTAAAGTAGTTCCAGGGGAAGTTAAATCCAACAATACTGCTAAAGAAACATTTTCATAAAATTCTAGATAATGAGCAGAAGTGAGTGTGCAAAAAAAAAAAATAAATTTGAGAACATGAAGAGTAATTGAGAGTAATGACTCTAGTAAATGTCTTGAACACTGAATTCTCACAGCTGTTTAACAGGATGGTGTAGCCAAAACCAGGCAGAGTCAGAAGAGCCCTCAGAGGCAGTCTGCCTTAAACTGTGGGAGCAGGCAATTGATAATGATAAATATGAATGGAGTTAGGAGATAGGCACACTTCTTGAGGAAGACCAGAAAACCAATGATAAATCTGTGGGGGAAAGTAGAATCATAATGAGTAATTTACATAGTGAATCCTGGTAAATTCACTGCAGTGTTTGGCATTAGATTACTGCTTTGAATTGGTTAAAATATGTGAAATTGGGGTTTGACTCCATGTGCTCTAATAAAGAGCCTTTTATATCAGACAAAGTGTTTTTGCCCTGTAGGTAGTTATGGCCACATATTTTGCCTTGATATTTTATTTGAGTAGCAGGTAGTTGGAGGCTCCCCAGGCTTCCTGCATGTCTCGTTTGAAGAATGTTCTTTCAAGAACTCAAATCCAAAGGGATGCTGTTGTGCCTCTTGGCTTAATGCAGGACTGCCCTTGTTGTTGAGGTGAAATCAGGTCTTAAGTTTTAAAGAGTCAAGAAGCACACTTGATTGCTTTTCTGAGCTTTTCCAAAGCTTTCCTCAACTTTCAGTTCATGTTTTTGATGCATGGCCCTGGAGAAGGAGTGGCATCATTGCTGGGGGGGACAATTGCCATCCTGTGCCTGAGCCCTGCCTGGGCTCCCTTTGCTGTCAGTGGGGGAAGAGTTCTCCTCCTGGGGAAGGTCCTGTTTCCCTGGCAAGGTCAGGTGAAGAGAGCTGAGCATCTTTTTCTCTTTGAATCTAGAAGACTCCAGAGCTAAGCAAAGTGAGATGCATCAGTCTTGGGTGGGTAAATATACAGTCCAGTGCCACATACAAAATAATATCATCTCTATTGCTGTGCTTCTGTTCAGTATTTCCTCTGGAGCAACCAAGAGGAGCTGTCCTGAGCCTCAGCTGCTGCTGTGGCCATTGAGCAGTGTGTCCAGGAATATGCCTGTCAGTCTTTAATCTGATTTTATTGCTGACTCAGATGGCTCTGTTAAACTGAACTCCCCCTACTACATTTGCCACTGCCACAGTTTACTTGCTTTAGTGAAAGTTATCATCCTCGTTTCTTCCTGTGGTTTTTTTGTTTCAGTTTGGGTTTTTGTTTGTTTAGTTTTGGGTGGGGTTTTTTTGTTTTGTTGTTTGTGGTTTTTTGTTTGTGTGTGGATTTTCAATGGTTTGGGGTGGGTTTTTTGTTTGTTTGTTTTTTGGGGCTTTGTTTTGGTTTTTTGTTGGTTTGGGTATTTGATGGGGTTTTTTTACAAAAATTGTAAGATAGAGGTAGGCTGAGAACTGCTTACTTTTCCAAAAGAGAGAAAAATATGAAGTCCATACATCTATATCAGATTGTTCAGTACATTTACAAGCTTTATCAGATTTATTTAACATCTCCTGTTTAAATATCCACCAGCGGTATTAATTATCATTAGTAATAGTCTGAGTGTATGAATCCTGTACCATTTGTTCTGATACTTTGGTATCACTGGCAGACTGGAGAAGGGCAGTCACCAACAGCCAGAGTAGTTTAGGTTGGAAGTCCCCTTGAGTTCTCTGGTCCAAGCCCTAACTCAAATCTTGACTTCAAAGCAGTCAGGTAGATACACCTATATATCTGTGTATCTATGTATACCTAAGATAATATTTTATTTTGGCAATTCCCCTAAATCTTATAAATGTACACTCTGTTTGGAATACTGATTTGGTCTGGTTCTGTCTCCAAGCACTGAGGTTACTTCTGGCTATGCCAGGAATTAAAGGGCCTCCAGCTAGGAGACTTTTTGTAGATGCTTTTGTTTGTAGATCGTATTGTTTGTAGAAGATGTTGCTTTACATCTCCTTCTCCTTATTAAAATAATTAGATTGAGCCTCTTTCCTCTCTGGCAGTAAATCATGTCAGCTGGGGAGGTTCTGGGACGTCCCAGAGCCATCTCTGGTGCAGCTCTGAATACCTCTGTGAATGTCCCACAGCCTGTGTGGAGCCTGTGGCAGTGCCAGGGCAATGCCACATCCAGCAGCAGCCACCAGCCCTGTGCAGATCTGCCTCCCTGGTGTCTGGGGAGGAGGCTGCTCTCACTTCCAGCCAGAAGCTGGTGCTGGGTTAACCATTAACTCCCAGCTCCTGCTGGGGACAGGCTTTTGTTTTCAGGGCACTGCGAGTCTGCTCGCTGTGGCCTCTCCTGTGCTGGTCCAGGGACATTTCTGCTGGGGTTCTGCTGGGGTCTGAACAGCCTTCCCTGCCTGCAGGCAGCTGCAGTGGCCTCCAGGTGTGGGGACAGCGTGAGGGAAGTGCCCAGAGCAGGACGTGGCCGTGGTGGTGAGGGAGGGGACAGGCCTGTGGCCAGGGCCGGGTGCACTGCTGTGCTCAGGACACCAAGGTTCCTCTCTGGTGCTGTTTGCAGTGCTCCTGCAGGGGCTGGGAGAGCCTGAGCCCAGCCACGTGGGATGGTGATTCCCCATAAATCCCCAGAGGTCCTTCAGGAGCTGGGTCCCACAGGGTGCCCAGTGTGCACCAGGAGGGTCCCCGTGGTGGGGGCTCCCTGCCTGCCTGGAAATGGATCACCTCCAGCCCAAGGGTGTGTGTCAGGGTGCTGCTGCCTCCCTTACTGGCACTGCCTCCTCCCCACATCCTGCTCATCCCTTCTGGAGGCTGTGTAATGGGAAACTCCTGCGAGTTTCCTCTGCAGAGAGGTCCACAAAAATTCTGGAGGTCAAGTCTGTTCCAAGAGAGACTGCCTGAGCAAGGGTGCAGATCAAAGAGCTGCAGTCATCCTGCCTCCACTCAGCTTTGCAGTGGCCCTCACGTGCTTTGGGCCATACCTCAGGCCCAGGACATGACAGTGCCAGAGGGGGACTCCAGATCCTCCCAGGGGCCATTCTGGTCTGCCCAGGGGCCCCTTCCTGCTCCTCCCTCAAAGCACAGAAGGGTTGTTTAAAAACACCCTGCCAGCTCTGAGCTGAGCTGGGAAGAGTTCACATTGAGTGTGTCAGTGTGCTGATGTGCTCTAATTGCTGCTCATGCTCAGCAGCAGCAAGGACAGGCATAAGCAACTGCTCATCTCCTGGGTGGGTGAGTGGGTGGCAGCCAAGGGCAGCAACAGCTTTGGAAATGGGAGGGAGAAACTTGAAACTCCACTGGTAGAGTGTCCTTAAGATGTGACTACCAGCCCAGGTGAAGATTTCTGCTGAGCAGCCTGAGATGCTGGAGAAATACTGGCAGTGTCAAATGGCAGCAGGTCCCAGTCCCCTCCATCTGCCAGCTAGCGTGGGGGGCTTGCCCCATCCTCAGTGGTTACCATATGGCTGGGATTTGCCTTTTTCTGATTCTGTCTGTGGTTTCTGGACCTTCTTTACTAAGGTGTTTTCAGGAGAGAAGTGCAGTGCTGGAAAGAGAGGTGTGTGCTGCATGGGTGTGTCTGTGTACAGGGACATGAGTCCTGCATGAGTGTGACCCTCTGCAGCCTGGGACCTCACACGTGAGCAGCTGCACTGGTGTGGAGCCCTGGGTGAGGTGCACAAACCACCTGGGCAGAGCAGCAGAGGAGGACACTTCCTGCCCTTAGCTGTGGGGAACAGGCTGGTTTTGGAAACCCTGTATAACCAAAGCAAATGGACTGTGGCTCTTCTCTGCAATTTCATTTCACCTAATTTAGTACTCAGAAATGTGTTTAATTAAAAAGTTATTTATATAAGCATTGACAGCCTAACTTAAACTGTGACTATATTTATATTCTGAGCTCTTATATTGATTTTGAGCATTTTTTTCTTTCAGGGTGAGATTGCCTCCACTCAAAGGAACAATAACATACTGGAAATACACAAGGTGTATACCATCACCCAGACTAAGAAAAGCTTTGTTCTAAAAGGAATAAAATAATCATGGCAGAATGTACAGGTTACAAGGAAACCTCAAATCGGCACCTACGTTTCAAACTGCAGAGCCTGAGTCGCCGCCTTGATGAACTGGAGGAAGCAACTAAAAATCTGCAGAAAGCAGAGGATGAGCTGCTTGACCTCCAGGACAAAGTTATCCAGGCAGAAGGCAGCAACTCCAGCATGCTGGCTGACATTGAAGCCCTGAGGAAAAGAGTGCTGAAGATTGAAGGCAAGGATGAAGAAATTAGGAAGGCTGAAGAGCTCTGCAGATTAATGAAAGAAAAGCTGGAAGAGGAGGAGAGCCTCACTCGAGATCTGAAGTCAGAAATTGAACTCCTTCAGAGGAGAATGGCAGAGCTGGAGAAGCTGGAGGAGGCCTTCAGCAGGAGCAAGAATGACTGTACACAGCTGTGTCTTAGCCTCAATGAAGAAAAGAACTTGACCAAAAAGATATCTACAGAATTAGAAATACTTAGAGTGAAAGTGAAAGAACTGGAATCATCTGAAGACAGGCTGGATAAAACTGAGCAGACCTTAACAGCTGAGCTAGAAAAGCTGAAATCCTTAGCCCTGAGCTTTATCACGGAAAGAAAACATTTTAATGAAAGAGAAAAGCAAAATGAAAAAATAATCCAGGAGCTAACACAGAAACTAGAACAAAACAATAAACTAAATAGGGCAGATCAAACTAGAAATGCATCCAACTTGCTAGAAAGGTCATCCAACAATCTCCTGGACAGAAATGATATGAGAATTGAAGATGACTTGACTTCTGCACTGCCTTCTAAAGAGACCAGGAGGAAGGGAAGTGTGGATTACCTGAAACACGTAGAAAATGAAACCAGGAATAAATCAGAAAACCAAAAGAATAAAAACCAGGAAGACAACAAAGTGAAAGATCTCACCCAAGAAATTGAGAAACTTAAAATTCAGATAAAACATTTTGAATCTTTAGAAGAAGAACTTAAAAAAGTGAGAGCCAAAAATAATGATCTGCAAGACAGTTACTTGAGTGAGCAGAATAAAAACAAACTCTTAACAGGTCAGCTAGAAGAAATAAAAATGCAAATAAAGAAACAGAAAGATCTGGAGAATGGAGAAGTTGAAAATGAAGATACAAGCTTTTCTAGCAGGGGAAAGCATGACCGACCTAAATACAGGGGTGTGATGACTGATTTGGCAGCTGCTAAGCACAAGCCAAGGGAGCTCTCCCCACAGCAGCGCCGGGAGAGGGCACGGAACAGAGACCTCTGTCTCAGTAATGACAGCTACAGCCACAGTGGGAAACGGGTGCCCAGTCCAAGCTTCATGAGCAGAAAGGCAGGGAAAGCTTCTGGTGCGTCTGCCCTTTCAGACACTGCTGTCACAGATACAAGAAGACTGGAAGAGAAATCTTTAGTTTCCACTATTTCTTCTGGTCAGAAGGAAGGCTGCATCATGCAGAATGAGGGGAAGAGATCCAAAGAGCAGCCATCTGTGCTCAGCCGGTATCCTCCTGCTGCACAGGAGCAGAAATCATGGAAAGCACCTTCCAAACCTGTTGGTGATACAGGCCTGAGATCCAAGGTTGAAAAGCCATCTCAGGTGCTCCGTGGGAACTGCCAGAATGGTGCTGACACACGGGATGAAAGGTCAAGCAAGGGGGAATCAACGGGTTCTGTGTCTGAGAAGCTGAAGACAAGTCAGGCTGAAGTCAGTGAGTGCTTGGGGGATGCACAGCTCACCAGGGGCAGCCACACCTCTTCCAATGGCACAGCCTCAGCATACAGGTACCACGTGTCCTCCAGCGTGTCAGTCTCAGACTCTGCTGCCTCTAAAGTGGAAGCAGTGAGCACTTTTGCATCACACAGACAGCCCTCGGAGGGAAGGGCTAAAAGGGCACTAATCTCCCAGGAAAAAGAAGCTGCAGACACATCACTTGAAAGTGTGAAGCTTTCGACGCTGACGAAGCGTTCCCACCACTCCAGGAGTCAGGAAGACATTCTGCAGATTCTCACAGGTCTTGATAAAGAAGGCACCGAGCAGTCTTCAAGTTCAGCAACAGATCATGTAAATATGGTTTTAAAAACTGACTCCAAAACCATCCAGAGTAACCAGGAAAAATTTAACTCAGAGGAAGAATCAGGAAGAGGCAAAAAACCAACCACTCAGTCAGATTTTGAGACAAGAAAGAAAGTCAGTTCCAAGCAGTTCTCCTCCAATTCTAGGGGAGTTTTTAGAGCATCACTTTTTGAAAATGACAAAAAAACTGTGAATGATGAAGACTCTACCAAGTGCATAAAACCATGTGATGCCAGCACTGGAGAACTGAAATCCAGAAGACCCTTCAGCCCTAGAGAAGCTCTGAGATCAAAAGCCATCATTAAACCTGCAATTGTTGAGAAGGATATGAAGGCAATCATGGGAGGGACTGTTTCAGAGGCAGAGTCAGAAAAACAGAAGTCTACTTTTAAAATGGTAACAAACAAAATGACAAGCAGCATCACAATCTTTCCTTCTGAGCCAACAGCTGCAAGGAGCACTGCAGAGACAGCAGCAAAGGAAAGGCATGTTACCACCAGCAACATCAGAGTTGCTTCAAATGAGCCTTCACCATCAGTAACAAACAATGTCCCTTCACTCTTTGAGGTGTCAGTTAATAGAAGTGCTCTGAAGTCATCTGAGGCAGACAGAGGTGGAGAGGCAGTGCCCAGAAGTAAAGCTGAAACAGTGGTCTCGAGAAGCAGCATTATGCTAAAGACTTCTGAACTGACAGAGAGGAGCAGTGAGACACCTTTGGAGACAATCAGCTGGAAGAGCCATGGCTCGTCAGATGCAGGTTCATCCGAAGCAAAGCACGTCACTGTCAGGAGTTCCTGGAGAACAAGACAAGGCCTACATTCCCTGGAGGACTCTCAAACCAAAGCGGAGAAAAGTGCAACTTTCAGTGCCACAAACTTGTGTAGATCCTCAGTGGACCTTTTAGAAGGGGAAGGGAGTAGTTCAAACACAGACTTCCTGGAGCAGGCTTCATCCAGAACAAGTGCCACAGCTAATTCTTGGGGTGCCCCTGAGCTGGGCTCCCGAAGGACCAAAAGTAACTTAAGTGCATCTGAGCTGCTGACACGCAGGAGCTGTGCAGGTGACCCTACAGCAGCTGCTGCTTGGCAGCGCACCACGCCACCTGTAAGTGTCCTGTCTTCAACACTCTTCAGTTGATGAGGTTTTCCAAGTTGCCTGTTAGTTGTAGGCTGCATGATTTGAAATTTTACAGCTTATTTCCTAAGTGCTGCCTCTCCCAGCTCCTGCTAGCTTCCTTCAGTGTGTTCACAATTCACAGCACCCACAACTTTCTGATGTGTGAATTACCAGATTTAGCCTTCTTGAGATGAGATCCATCTGCTTGGGTCTTGTAATGCCATATGAATAACTACATAGTAGCCTCAGAGAAGATGTAGTCACAGCTTAAGTAGGACGTGTATGCTTTTCAGAGTCACTTTATGTGGCGTTTTAAATTTGGAGTAGCAATGAAAAAATGATGGAAATGAGCAGATTTGAGTGGGGCTGTGCCTGAGGTACAGTTGTAGCTCTAATGGCAAGTGTAGAGATAGAGCTCCTTTTGGTGAGAGCTTCATGGTTTCCTCATGTGAAACCAGACTCTGGTCTGGAAATGCTTCCTGAGCATCCCCCAAACAGGTGGATGGTGGTTGGTAACACAAGGCTGCTCCCTCCTTGCTCTGTGCCAGAATTCCACCTGAACAGGAGCAAGAGCCACAAGGACAGCTGTGCTCTTTGCCTGTTCCTCTGACTGGTGCCAGGGAGGGGAGTCCCTCGCAGCAGTGGCACTGCAGAGAGCTGCTCTGCTGGGATGTGCTTGCCTCTGGAGCTGCAGGCTCTGGCAGAATTCAGCTGAACTCGCTGGCAGCACGTCCCTTCTGACCATTAACCCCACACTGGTTTGTGCTGCAGCTCCTGCCTCTGCTATTCATTCTGCACTACTCTGAGCAGCTCCTGCTATTGCCAGTCTGCAGGAGGAAGCAAGCTGGATAATCTGACAGGGCTGGTGGCAGAGGAAATAGGTTCAGAACTGAATTACTTTGGCATTGACAAAGATGAACTGGTGGAGATAGGCAAGGAGTTTTACATTTTCAAATCTCTTCCACTTCTCTGGCTATGAGAAGCACAGAAGAATTTGCACTTAGCTTTGCAGAGAGTCTGTTGCCTGGTGTTAGAAAGTACAGGGTGGCCTTCCAGCTACATTTGGAAACTGAGAATACATTGTCTCTCTGTCCAGGGTGGGTCACAGGCAATCTGTTCTGCTTATTCATGATTCCAAGCAGAGCTGATATGTTTGAAGTTGTTCTTCTGCAGAACAGCAGTTTGTGTGCTTGGGAAATGAGAGATCCATTCCTAGGGTGTCCTTTATCCCAGGAGTTTCAATGCACTGTGCCCACAGCCTTGACTCTCACACCTGAAGCAATCTCTGCCTACAGCTGAGTTCATGTGGGGTTGGTTGCAGAGCCCTAAGCAGTGGGAACTCAAGGATTTCTTTTCAGTTTTCCTCCTGGCAGCCCACCCAGGGCTGAGTGTAGCTCTGCAGTGCATTCTGCAGGTTGCTCTCAGATAAATTTGCAGTGTACCTTCACAGCAGTTGAGGTGTACCTGACAGAGCAGCCTGATCTCTGCCTGGTCAGCCCAAGAATATCCAGGATTAGCTGGATTCCAGCCTTGCCTGTGTCAGGAGACCAACCACATGGTTGGTTCACACAGAACTGAGCTGGGGATCTCTCTCTGTGTTGGACTTTGCAATAAAATCACCCATGTCACCTCATAGCCACAAACCTCACTTCTTGGTCATTGTGTGTTTTTAGCTTGTAAATGATGAGTATGAAGTTAATCTGAAAGAATGCAGATACTCAATTGTACTAGATATAGCAAATTGTATGCAACTTAAATTGTTGCATGTGCCCTTGGAAAAAAGCCCTTTGAGAGGTATCTTCAGACCTGTAATGTGCCTCATATCACAGCAGCTTGTTTCTGCTGGGATTTGTGTTTCAGTTCAAGATGTGGCTGCTGGGATTTGTGTTTCAGTTAAAGATGTGGCTATTTTCCCTGGCAGAAGCCTGGGCACAGAGCTGTCCTATGATCACTGTCACCTCCTTCCAGCTCCACTATCCACAGTCTGACATTGCCCTGAGAATCTTATGTGGCAAACGTGGGATCTGTGCTGTTTTTGCCAAAATCTTTCTCTCTTTCATTGCAACCTTCCCTTGTGTATTGCTGATTTGGGAAAATGTCTCTGATGAAGCTTCAGGGGGTGTTGGCTCTGGAACGCTGCTTTGGGAGCCCCAGGGAGCAGAGCTGCTGATGGATGGGTGGGTGTTGCAGCCTGGGGAGCAGCTCCCTCTGCTGCTGGCAGCCAGCCTCCTCCAGCTCCCCAAAGACCTGAGGCAGTGCAGGACCTCGAGCAGTCACTGAGTTGGGTTCATGTTGCACAGAGTGGAGTCTGTATTCCTCTGGTGTGATGTTTGATGAAAATTAGTGCAAATGTGCTGGAGGCAGGGAGCAGATGGGCAGCAATGTCAGATGAATGCATGGTTTTCTTATGCCACTGACATTAATCACTGGAGCTGGGCTCTCTGCTGCATAAATTGGCAAAATTCTAAAGGTAGCCTTGTCTTCAAGGGAAGCCATCATCACTCCTGGAATGGTAGAAGTGCATCTGCTGGAAAAGTCTCCCAGGCAGTGGCAGGGATGTGCTGCCTCTTGCCCTTTCTCTCCCCTGCTTTGGGGACTGATGTACAGGGCATCTCTAGTGGGTCCATCCTGGCTGGATGCCAGGCTCTCACCAAAGCCCCTCTCTGTCACTCCCCTCCATATCTGGACAGGAGAGAGAAAATAGAATTAACCTTTCTTTGGACCTCAGTAATTTTGTCAAAGAGATTGATCCTGTTTTGTGACCATGCACCCATAACTTGGGTTAAAATTACTGGATGGTTCTTGAGAAAAGATCTTTATGAAATAGCACATAAATGAGGCCATGGCAGAGCTGGCCTGGTGCTTTAAGTCCCTCCTTGCTAAAAGGACTCAGGCTCACACCTTGCACTGCACAGCTGGCACTAGGACCCCAGTGCTGTTCCAGATCTTTCACAGACCCTGGATCCCAACCCTTTCTATTTTGCTTTGCACAGGATGAAAGCAAGGATTTTGTGTCCAGTTCCAGAAGGAAGCAGTATGGCTCTTCTGAGTACCTCCTCCAGGCTGACACTCTGAGCAAAAGGACAGCCACCAAGGTGGAGCTGCAGGACCCTGAATCCAGCTCCCCTGCTCCACCAGGGCTCCAAGGAGAGGAGCAGGTATGTGAGGGAAGGAGTTACAAGGCAAGAAGCAAATATCTGAATTGACCTCCCAGCAACCTAATGTAGAGAAGTTGTCCAGAAAGTCTCCACTCTTGTAGAGAAATCAAGTCTGAAGTCAGCACTTTGCCAGGGGTGGAGTGGCTGCTGTGTTTTCTCTTATAACTTGTTTCAGCAAGTGTTATGGCTAAGAATATTCTCAGATAACTAAGTGGTACTCCATCTAGTCATCTTCTGGCACATGAATCAATCAGGGATGGGAAAAAACATTCAAAGAGACAAAAGCAGAGTCCCTGCTTCAGCTGGCAGCTTTACTACTGGAGTGTTTGCTGCTATACCCCTGCTGCTGTGCCAGCTGAAGGACTGTGGTCCTGGTGGGATTTGGGATGGTTGCCAAGGGCAAGAGCAATCTTGCCTGCAAGCAGAAATGCTCTGGGGCAGCAGTGGGCTGTGGGCAGGCAGTGACCTTGTGGGTGTCTCTTGCAGGGCGCTGCCCGGGCTGCCCGGACATCTCGGAGATGAGCTGCATTCCCTCCCAGTGACCGTGGTGAAGCAAGAGGCAGGATAGCACCAAGCTCACAGGCATCACACCTGTTTGTCACCTCTCCAGAGGCTTCAACTAGCCTGAAACCAGTTTTGTAATGCGATTTGAAAGGTACAGGAGCTTTACCAGTGAATTCTTTTTCTTCATTGCTGAAGAGGCAGCTGCAGAGACTTTGCTCAGGGGACTCCCACTTCTCATCTCTGTACCTGCAATCTCAATCTTCCCTGTAGGGTGATAGGTCTGTCTCCACTGGGAACTCTGACTACCTAGCCTCTCTGAACAATGGTACTCCTTGCACAAGAGAGAACTTTTTGTTCACTTGCGTTCACACAAGATCCCAGCAGTGTCCCTGTGGTTACATCCACCAGCCCATGAAGCTGTCCACCACAACTGAAGGCTTTCAGTTCCTCTGGAGTTTGCACTCTCCCAATACACCCTTGCTGGCTGGGGTAGTGGTCACCTCAGTACCTGTGTTTCCAGCACCCTTAGTCTCTAGGCAAAAGGAGACTGCTCCCCACTGGTTACTTTACAGATTGAGAGGGAAGGAGAGCAGAAAATGTTGTTTAGAAGGAGTTGATTCCCTATCACTGTCACTCTCTGCAACAAGCTTTGCATGATCTGCTCCTCACCAGTTGAGATCCTGCACCAAGAAGTCATCCACTGAGGCAGACACAGCAGTGACACCCCCTCCTGCCTGGGACCAGGGTGCCATTCATCTGGAGCTTTGTGTTACACTCTGCAGGCAACAACTCTGGGGCTTGTGCAAGGCAGCTGAGCCCTACGAGAAAAAGAAACAAGTGCTTTTCCTCACAGACAAGCAGAATGTCATTGTTCCTTCCCACAACAGGGTGGAGACAGCTGGATTGGTCCCTAAGCTGACCTGTGGTAGCTTTGGTCTGTGCCTCAAGCCCTGTCTGCCATGCCTGGGCCCCAGGTATGGTCAGACTGCTCAATCAGAGCTGTGTGTCATCCCCATCAGAGCCTGCAGGCCAGTTGGTGTCAGTGGGTGTCACTGTGGGGCAGACATGTCCCCACAGCTCCAGGAGGTGCTCAGGTCATCAGCAGCAATATCCTGAGCAAGGTGATTGCAGCAGGCTCTCACAGCAGGGCTGGGACAGTCCTTCCTTGCCATGCCAGGCCGTGCCCAGCTGCTGGGCTGGCCCCTGCACAAACACCACTGGCACCCCCAGTGCTGCCCGTCCCTCCCTGCAGCAGGACCAGGAGAATGCTCCAGACAGAAAAGGTCCTTGATCTGTTTCAGAGGTGCTGTGGGAAGAGCTGCACCCCAGCAGCTTCCATGTCTGAGCTGCACCCCACACTTGTGCCCCATCCCACCTCTGCAGGAGCAGGTACCAGAGCCATGTGATTGCCTGTGCTGCACCTCCCTGGCCTGGGAAATACACACCTCAATTCTGAGAAGAAAATCAATCAAAAAAAAAAAAGAAAAATCAATAGAGCTGGTTGCAAAATATCTATGAAAACATTTCTATAAAAGGGATGTGCTTTAGTGACATAATTATTTTTTTATAAAGATTGTTTGGAGGAAGGGAAAAATTATTTTTGAAAAAAAATGTTTCTTCTTGGAATTTTAAAGATGTTTTCCCAAGTGTATATTTTTAACCCTTCATTTTATTCTTTTACATGTCATGACATATATGTCAACTTGCATAACAAGACAAAAAGATGCTTTTAAATTAGTATTGAGTGGCAGCTCTAATAATCTTTAAATTATATTAAAATAAATTGTATCAACTGCTCTCTCTTACCATTGACATGGTAGTGCTAGTAGAATGAGATAATGGGAAAAAAATTTAAACTCAAACTCCAAACCAAAAATGAAAGAAAGTGACATTCTGAAGCTAAATTCAGACTTCTTACTGCCTCCCCCTGCCCCTGTTTATCAGGAAGGATTGGCAATCCTTATGGATCGTGCAGTGTGAAGCCAGTGGATTAACAGTGCTGTGCACTGGCTGTGTCCTTCCTGAGCCCCCTGCTCTGCCCAGCACTGTGTGCCAGGTTCAGCACCCAGAGCCAGGGCAGTGCCTGGACAGCAGCAGCTTCCCTTGCCCCGTGTGCCCAGCTGTGCCCAGCTGTGCCCTGCTCACCACAGGCTGCTGCCTCTGCCCCTCCAAACTAAACCTGCTGCCTCAGCTGCCCACACTGTACCTGCCTGCTTACCCTGGGGGCACCTTGGCATGTCCCTGCCCCTTCAGATGTCACAGGATTCCCTCTGCACATCCCTGAACCTGCTGGAGCAGCTCTCCAGCTGTCACCTGCAGCACTCTCAGAGGCTGTGGGAGAGGCAGTGCTGTTCTGCCTGCAGGATGCTGCGTGCTGGGCTCCCTGCCCTTGCTCACTCTGCCCAGGACAGCACGGACACACAGGAGGACAAGGACCACTGGGCAGTGACTGAACGCCCTCCCTCACATCCCAGCCCCATCCTGCTGCAGGACACGGCTCCACACACCAGGGGACATCCCTACACACCCACCAGCTTTCTCCTCACCTCATCGGCGTGGCTGTGGCTTAGCAGTGCTCCCAAAGAGCCTCCCAAGGGAAGTGGTGTTGGTTGTGATGAGATCTCTGCCTCCCTGTGAGTCAGCGTGGGTGACTGCAGGCTGCCCTGTGCCTGCCCACGGAACACTGGCTGACCCAGCAGCTCTTCACTGCTCACCCCGAGCACAGCCCCGAGTCTGAAGAGCAAGGGAAGAACCACCAGCAGCAAGAGCTGTTGAGTTTTCTCCTCCTGTCAGCCAGGACCAGGCTGTGCCCGAGCAATGGGAGGGCTTTACCCTTCAGCCCCAGCAACACAGCACTGCTGGCACTGTCTTCAGGTGCTTCTCACAGATGATGTCTCTCCTTTCTCCAGCTGCCTCAGTTATTTGTTCAATATTTTACAGCAGATACCTTGGACTCCTGCTCTAAACTCAGTTTCACTGCTTGTAAATACTGGACACAGATGTCACTTGGTAACTGCACACTGGTTGTTTTTACCACAGCTGAGATGAAATCTGAGAAAGAAAACCCTACCTAGTATGGAAAGGGGCCATGCCCTCTAGTCAATGAGTGCAATAGGAGCTGATTGTATTATTAATCTTATAGCAATGACTTCAGGAAACACAATGTGTTTACTCGAATTGCACACTTTTTTTGAACAGCTGTAAAATAGAGTATATGTGTAAATATTGCCACCACTGAAGAAGTATTTGTAATTTTAGCATATAAATATAACCCAGCTTTCCAGTAGGCTTGATGATGCACAAGGCCATGCATCGAGCCCTCGGGTAATTCCAAAGTTGTAAATGTATTTGCTGTACAGAGGAAGTGTGTCAGTGCTTGCTGCTCCCAAGGAACCTCAGCTGCTGGTCCCTTTGGAGAGCCAGTGCTGTCCCCAGGAGGGCTGGCTCCAGTCTGAGGGCCCAGCAGCTCACTGCTTCATGTCTGGGAACGCCTCTGCAGCCTGCAGAGCTGCCTGTCCAGCCCCCCAGAGGGTCTGGGGTGCCAGCCTGGCCACTGGAGCTGTGCAGGGCACCCCATGGCCAGGCCCCAGCAAGGGAAAAGGAAGCACAGGGCAGAGCCACTTGCCTTGGTGCTTCAAGAGACACTTGACACAAGCGATTTCCCAGCTACAGACTGAAGCAATAGTCACATTGGTCTCATCTCTAACGTAGTAGACCTCATCTCTGCCACCCTTGCACACGGCTGAACAATCAGGGCACTGCTCCAGGCCAGCCCCCAGGCTGAGCTGTGAACAGAACACAAAGCCATTGTTAGCAGATGCCTCCCTTGGTCAGAGCCCAGGGCCCAAAGGATCCTCCTGGGCTGCCCCACGTGCAGTGCTGGCTCCTGCTTTGGGAAAGCAGCACTCCAAGCTGCATGGAATGTATTTTTAAGAGAATAAATCTATTTTTTTGTATTTGTGAACATATATTTGGGTGGGGCAGCTTAGTTAGAAGACAAATAATGCAAGAAGTCTTTTCATAATCACAGGTTCATCCAAGTTAAGCAGATTTTCCAGGGTTGCAGTATTGCCTTTTCCCCTAAAATAAACTTTGTGTCCAATAGAGCAATGAGCAGTGTTCCACCCTTAGAACTTGCCCTGTCTCAGCATGCTGAGAAGAGAAAGGCCAGCACTTTCCTCCCCAGGCTGCCCATGCAGTGGATACAGATGGTGCTCACCTCCTTGCAGCGACACAGTGCTCTTAGTCTGCATGCCAAATGTAAACACACACTTATCTGCATGTCTCTCCTGACTCAAACACTGTCAGTGCTACAGTATATAACCAATAAACACTCTTCTTTTTACACGGTGTGATGTGGTGTTTACAGCTGAGCCCTGTTCACAGCAGTGCCCATTTTCTGGGGGTGCTGCTGCCCCTGGGAGAGGCACTGAGGCAGCAGTGTGTGCTGTGTGTCTGTCTGTCTGTCTCTGTGTGTGCGCACACTGCAGGGTGGCTCAGTGCTGGAGCTGAGCACCTTGCACTTCTGTCTGTGCCTTGGTTGAGGCAGATCTCACACTCCCATTCCAGGATGCATTTGAGGCAGGGCTGGTGCATAGACAGCACAGCAAGCTGTACACAGCCACTGACCACTGAGGCTCCCTGAGCTGGACAAGGATTGCTGAGAATGGCCCGTGCTCCATGGGGGGTTCCAGGAGCAGGGGATGTTTGCCATGAGCCTGGTGTCACAGAGAGCAGGTGGGCAAAGAGCAGCACCAGATCTGCTGCAGTTAAGGAAGAGGGTCACAGCCAGACTGTTACTGTTCCAGGAGTCAGCCCTGTGCCAGAGCTTTTCAGGCAGAAAGATACAACCAAAGGCATTATACCAATGTCCCACATGCAGACAGCAGCCCCAGAGCAGGGATTTCCAGGCTGGAGCTGGCCTCCTGGTGTACCAATGTCCCTACATCAGACAGCAGCCCCAGAGCAGGGATTTCCAGGCTGGAGCTGTCCTCCTGGTCTCCTGGCCCCTGTTAAGGTTAAAGGACAAGCACTGCCATTCCAGGTACGTGCCCTGGCGTGATTGTTTCAGTCTCCTTTGGGATGTTTAACACACCAGGAGCCATTCAGTGGTTTCATGTACTGCAACAGGTGGTCAGCAGTACAGCACCAGGCACTACACACAGAGTTCACCTCAGGACACTGCAACACGGTTCAGTACCTTCTCTTTTGTTGGAAGTATTTAATAAACCAGTATGCTTGGCATACTCAGTGATACCAGGTTATTCTACAGCAGAATGCAGGTGGTGTAGCAGCCAATGGACCATTTTGGAGAGGTGTGATTTGCTACAGGTAGGCAAACAGTTGCCCCAAATTCTTGAATACCAGACAGGAATAGAATTGGTCAAAAATATTACTCTTCAAAACAAAGCCATAAAAAAAAACACAAAGAAATTTACATACATTCTACACTAAGCTAGTATTCATAGCAACCAGCTTCTAGAGGCCCTTGTGCAATTACCAAATTGCAAATACACACATAGGTAGAAAAAAAAAACCCAAACACCCTAAAAATCCCTCCAGCTATTTTGACTTCCAAGAAGTATCTGCAGAGTCAAAGTCCCTGTGCAGTAAAGGGTTTGGTTTACACCGAGCCTTTGCAAAAGGCTGCCAAGCCAAAGGTGTGGCAAGCTTCTGTCAGGCCATTCTCAGACCAGGCTCGCACAGCGACTCGGGCTCCTCTTGGCAGACACAGCTACAAACTACTCCAGCAGCTCCAGCGCAGGGTCCGCACGCGCAGCACCGCAGCTCCTCTTGTGCCCCTGCAGCTGCCCTCACATGCTGGCAGCCTGCTGGGGGGGCACGGCGGGTGTGGGCTGCCGGGGCAGGGTGTACATGGCCCCCAGGAACTGGTCGGCGATGCGGCCGGCCTCGCGCAGCCCGCTCAGCAGCGCGCCGTGCACCGTGGCCGGGTAGTTGCGGATGGTGTGCTCGCCCGCGAAGAACAGCCGCGGGATGGGCTGCGGGCACAGAACAGCAGGGCTCAAATTACCAAGAAAATAACAAAATAAAGCTCTATTCGATAAGCAATGTTTGCAGAGGGTCATGTCCAGCTGTAACTGAACCTCTACAGGCAAATGCGTTTAGGAAGAATACTTTCTAAATCCTGGAACGTGAACTCTAGCACAGTAAGCAAACAAAAACTTCACCAACTCACTTAAATCAGCAGTTTCTCTTTAAACTGAGACCTTAAACAACTACCCACAGAATCACAAAAAGTGGGAGAACAATAAATGTTCATATATTACATTCTGCAGGGCATCATTTCAATCATAGCTGTGTGTATTAATGACTTGTATCATTAGAACAAGAACTCAAAGCCAAAACCACACAGCCTTTCCTGGCAGTGCTTTCAAACTTAATTCTCTCAACATGATCTGGAGATGACCCCTGCCTTCGTTGTGTTGGCTCCCCATTTGGAAGAGACTTTTGATACCTGTTCTTCTCACTCTGGTCTTCACCCTCTTTCAAATCGCTACAACTCACCTAAATATGGTAATGGACAATAAAAATATGGAGTATAAAACGCAGGTATAATATTAAATTCTCTGTTCAGACATAACCAAACTGGCTTTCTGAATAAAAATGCTCTTTTTTCAGCAAACAAATGACACCAAACCGTGTGGTGTAATTTTTTCATTCATTAATTCTGTCATCACAGAATTAATGAATTAAAAAATTAATTATTTTACTAAAAATAGGTTTTAATCATTCATCATAAGATGCAAGTTATCTAAACTTGTGTTTAGATATGTATGCAAATTTCTCAAAAAAATCCTTTTGTTCTGAGGTTTTTCTAAAAATAATTTCTCACCTGTGGAGCACCTGGAATGGCTGGTCCTGGAGTAATTGGCTGAGCCATCAAATCATAGTCATTTCCAGAGGATCCAGCAGCTACATAGGAGTAGGATCCCCGGGCCCAGGGGTCAGCACGCCAGCGGGACACCACGGTCTCCTTGGGCTGAGACAAGACAGGAGCTTCAGTTGTTGGGAAAGTGCAAATTCTCAGTTTGTGACAAATACAAACCATGCAAATTGCAACAACACAAGGGGCAAAGTCCTTGGGCTGAAGGTAGTGGCAGAACTCCATGTTTATATTCTGTGGTAACACACACTAAGGTGAATCCTTGACGGCAATTCCTTAAATCTTTCCAAAATATTACCAGACCCTGCTGCGTGTGGACTGTTTGCTCTGTTCCTTCTCCCACCATCCACCTGGTGACCAGGCACCCTTCCCTGCCCCTCCAGGGCTGCCCTGACCTGGGGCACAGCGCTGCTGCCAAAGATGCCCTTGAGGATGGCGAGGCAGCGACCGACAATGACATCGTCACTGATGTTCTCCATGATCCCTGCTGCTTCTCCTGCTACCAAGGCCAACAAAATCGGTGCTGGGGGGGGGAAAGGAGAGAAAAAAGAACAACTGAATTACTGAAATTGAACATTTTGATCAGATAAGTTGGACTTGGATAGAAATGGATCTGCAGTTAAGGCAAAAAGTTAGAGACTAAACAAATCCAACAAAATAGTCTTAAATTTTCTACCATCATGTCAATATAACAAAAATAAAATTATTTTTTATATGCCATGGTACTATTATCAAGAGAACTTGTGTACTAAATAAGTAAATAAAAGTAAATAAAAACATCAGGAATGATGTTTCAATGTTTCATGGTCTAACCACATTAACTGAAATGGTAATTGTTGTTTTTGATTTCAGCCACCTGACTTGTGCTTCAGCATGAGGTTTTACTGCATTTCTCTTTCATGTCCACCTGCTCTGCCTATCTTCCTGAGAAGGAAGGCTTAGAATTTAACATGTGAAGCTAATTGGTACATGACATGATCTTTCCATCTAAACCAAAACCATGACCCTACTTGTTAACTACATAATAGAGCCACAAAGCCACAGGAACAGCCTTGCTATCCAAGGCTCATGACTTGTATTTCTCCAGTAAAATCTTACCAAACATTTTAATAATTCAATAGCCTAGAAAGGCACTTCCCTTGCACATTTTTTCCCAGTTAACAGAGAAACCTGTCCTCCTTATGTCAGAATGGAAAAAAACCCACTGGTCATCTGCTAAACAAGTAACTCATTTAATAATGCTCCTTATACACACCTTTGCTTTTAATCTGGTCAATGGCTGTAAAAAAACCAGTACACTTACTGCAGACATCTCCTGACAATCTACTGTGGCAGCACCAACTACAGATAAAGCAAAACTACTAATGGCAAAGTCCTGCTGTGGTAGTAATGCAATTTAACAGGCACAGCCTGGAACTGTCTGCAGTCAGTGCTGTTCTCTGCTTCCATTTGTCTTCCTAAAAATACTATCTTTTTATCATAGCTACATGTGAACACTAACAGCATTTTAAAAAGTGGTTTTTTCCAGATCTGAAGCTATACAAATAAGACACTGGCAAAAGCAGACATGCACCAGAGTTACCTTTGTACAGGTTCCAAAAGAGGAAAAGTTCTCCTCTGCTTGCAGTAGTGCTCCCAACATGGCCAAACAAATTGACACTGGGATCCCAGAAGACACGATCAAAACACAACACAACCTAGAAAGAAAGCATATCAACAGTTAGGAAGAGTGCAGGGAAGAAATAAAAATAAAGACAATTACACTCATTGATGTTTATCACTGGACAGGCCAAGAAAGGGAAATGTGGTGAATACAGAGTGCATACACATAATACACAGAGGTGTATGCCTGCAGCTGCCTTCCCACAGGTTAGTGTGCTCCCAATCTTCTGGTTAGCAAGTTCCATCAGATCTACTTTGCAAGTTCCTCAGACAGTTTTCACCACCAAACCCTAGGAAAACAGCTGTGGGAAAGGCATTCTTCCTCTCCCCCACCAGCCACAGCCCACCCACATTTCAGACTCTGTGACAAGCTCTGTCTGCTGCAGCTCCCCCAGTGACAATGTACCTTGTTCAGGTTGCCAAACCCCATCCTCTGCACTGCAGAAGTTTTCCACTCAGGAAGAGGTGGCACAAACTGCACTGCTGGGGGCTGCTGTTTCAGCACTCCCAGGGGCAGAGTGCACAGCACAGCATCACACTTGTAAATGAAGGTCTGGCTGGTAGATCGGGTGTTCACAGCTATCACTTCACAGCCTGGAGAGGGGAGAAAAACCACTTTAATAGGCCATGAGGCAAGAGCATTGGATTAAAAATCAAAGAAATTACCATAACCACACCAGAAAGTATTTTGTTTATGAAGACAGCTTTACACTAACAGCACTTAACTTGTAGGCAAGTTGTTACTGGCCATTTAACTCTGTTCCAGGAAACACAATTAAGGTAGCCTAAAGGGATAAGCCTAAAGGTTCATCCAGGTCAGTAAATATTATTTAAATACATCCATAAATAAACAACAACTAGAGAGTGTTCCTCTCATTACATTGCTCTCCCAACTGAGAGTTTCCCAAGCCCAATGTTTTGAAGACCAACAAAAAGATACATTCCTTCCATTACATTCATTTATATTTATAATATCAGGTCCTGTGGCACCAAGCCTTAAGCAGTTCCAGACCTCTTAATCCAAATGCTTCAGTCAATGAAGTAAATAAGAGAATAAATGTGAACAATCAGTAAATACAACTGAAAAAGACCGTGTCAGATGAGTCCCAGAAATGATCAAAAAACCATTCAAGACTAATAAATTACTTACACAATCCCAGTAAGAAACATGGCTGTTTGTCTAACCCCAAACATGTCATGGGAAGGGTTTTACAGTATCAGTGCTCACACCTGCTTCCAGAAGCACTGAAATCCACTTTCTGTGCCCACACTCCCCAGAGCAGTCTCCTGGAGGTTTCGTGTACCTGAAGCAGTGTAGCGAACCTGTCGAACTGCTGTGTTCAATTTGATGTCCAACCCTTCTGCCAGGGCCACTGGCACACAGGAATAGCCATTCCTCACAGTCAAGTGACTGCCTGTGAATTCAAAGTCATCATCCTAAAATGAAGAGGCATAAAAAGCATGGAGTCATAATGAAGTCCTCTAAGTCAACAGAAAATAATCAACAACTCTACACAATGGCAAAAAAGATTTCAAAGCCTTTTTTAGAGATTCAAACAAATGTGAAATTATTTCTGATTATTTGTCAAGTAATAAGTTTGGAAACTTTCAGCATAGAATACTGTTAAGAGATTGTTCTGGCACTAACAAAAAGCTGCCTGGAATTTCATCATCAAAGAATAACCATGTAAGAATTCAGTACCTGCACAAAAGCAGGCACTTAACAGCTAGAAATTCTTAATATTGACAAACTGTCATGAGAATGAAATAAACACAGTTCAACTTTTCAGTGAATTGCTGAGTACTGGTTACCCACCTGGTCCCAGTGCTTCAGTGACAGTGTAGAAAGGGGTGTGGCATTAGCAAATTCTAGGTTTGCAAAATGCCAGTCAAGTATTTGCCTGTCTCTTGACGACAAATAAACATCACTAGAAAAAACAAATATAACAAAGACATTTAGTTTGTTAGAACAGGCTATTGTAAATGCATTGCTTCTGAAAATGTCTTAAGTCAGTTTTTACTCTCTCCTTAGCCCAGAAATAAAAACATTAAAAACCACAGATTCTCTTTCAAACATCTGGATCTCTCTCATGAAAGCTGAGTATCAAAACACATCAAATTCAGGTTTTTAAAGCAGAATTCATGTAAAACACTCAAAGGGAAGCTAAAAATTACATAAATAATGGCTTAAGTAGCATGCATAAGGACAACAACAAAAAACATAGTAAAATAGCACAGAATAATATTCTACCAATATAAGTAGGATTTTATGCTATCATTACTGACAGGTATTTAAAACCTCAAATGCCTTCTGAGATCAGGCACTGATCACTGCCAGGATTTCTACAGAATCACCCTAGCTCAGAACCACCTTTTCTGTTTGAGTCATCTCTGAAAACAAGGAAATTGAGTTCTAAGCTGAGGGAACTCAAACTCTGTGTTTGTACCTTTGTAACCTCTTGAGTTCCCATAACACCATACCATTTCTGAAACTCAGGGAAAAGGTAGTAAAATAACTGCTTCCTAAGTATTTATCCTTTTAGTTTGCTTCTTTACCTTGGTGGATTGGCTTCAAGTTCTTGTAATTTCTCTTCCAGCTTTCCTTGTGTTTCTGCCAATTCATCATACTCCTATTAAGATTAAAAGCTAACATTAAAACCAGTTGACATGTAAAAGGGCTTGAAGACATCATGTAGCATCAGACTGGACCTAGACTCAAGAGAAATCACTAGAAAAATCACTTCATGGATTTAGTGGAAGCTAAACCAAGTTTGTTACTTTTTTCACTCCAGCATATTTTGCTCTTCTGCTCTTTGGATACACAGAGCTCTGTGTCACACTGCAGAAAAGATCACTTTGGTGATATTTCAGGACTTTAAACACCCAGAACTGAAGAACATGAAGGTCCATTACACTCCTGATATTTTAAGGGTTCCTATGGTCCTGAGACCTTCATATTCCACAAACTACTTCTCCTATTCTCCTTTCTTAAAAGTTTATAGCTAATACTGAACATGAAGATTTCCAAAGCAGAATCAATCATACTTAAAAACCAAAGAGATGATCTGATTCAAGCTTTTATAGTTTCCTTTTTAAGGCACATCTTTACATCAAGATATTCCCAGAGAGGAGAAGTAACTCTGCTTGTTAAGACAGAGCTCTGTACATGATAACCTTTAGACAGAAAGAAGTCTTTTAGTCAAGAAACCCCCTTTATTTATCTTAGAGAAAAGTTCTCTCTCTGCAAATGTAGATTTTATTTCCAGACTATTGTGAAATCCAGCTGTATTAAAGACTAAATCTAAGAGAAATTAATCTTCAAAACATTACATTGTCTGACATGAGCCAGCAGCCTTACCTAGAACTGAGCTTTAGTATTCCCCAGCTGAAGGTACTCAAAGCAGATCAGTGTTAGAACCCAGAGCTACTGTCAATCACATTCTCCTGAAGCACTGGATCATAGTGAGAGATGTGCAAACATTTATATTGGCTACTTTTATCTCCTGAAAAATGTGGCTAATTGGAATCATAGTGATGTGCAAACATTTATATTGGCTACTTTTATCTTCTGAAAAATGTGGCTAATTGGCTAATTGGCTAATTTTTGGCTGCTGAAGTTCTGAGAAAACAGTGACACACTGCATGTATGTGATCCTTCACCTTGCAAAGTGCAGTCAGATCCCTGTGCTTGCTTTTCACCAGGAACTCTGCTGTGATATCCCGAGGTGGCTTCACTTCTGATGCCTCCTTGTACTGCTGATGAAGTTCTTTAATCTTCTCTTTTAAATTCACCATCTTTTTAGAGCAGGAAAAGAAAGAAAGAAAAGGGAAAAAAAGTCAAAAGGCAGATTTCAACAAGGTACTGTGTAAACTGGATATTCACCTCATTATACAAAAGAGGTTTCCTGGTTTTGGCAGGTATCACTTATGCATTCAATTCTACCTCCAAGAAGCCACAGATAAATACCACCAACCCTAAACAGCATGGCTGAAACCCAGCATCACTGATTCCTTACTCTGTTGCAAGTCACTTGAGAGCAGTTCACAAGCATTTTTAATTTGAGAAACACAGAAAAGTAAAATCATCATTTACCAAGAGCAAAAATAATGGAAATTGTCCTAAACCACTGCTTCTGTGTGTAGTGAAGACAGTAAACATTTTAAAATAACCCCAAAAGCCTCAGCCAGTATCAGCATCTCCAAAGGAAGCTATGAAACATCACTGTTTATTGTGTCTGTCCTCTTTCTTTCTTTTCCCATAGTCTGTTTTATGGTTTTCTGCCTAATCAATTTTTCTCCTCCTCGAGCAGAGGACACCTTTGTCCTAACAGGGCTTCTATGTAGGCCTTAAGCAAAGACATATTTTAAGAACAGCATTAATAGCAATTTTCTGATATTTTTCTTTGGACATTTTTGTCTATTTTGCCATTTTCTGAGGAACACAATGCTTATTTTATTCTAAATGTCATCATCTGACCTTGTTAAGAAGATCTTTCAATTCCTCCTGTGTTTTCACAATTTTTTTCCAGTGCTCAATCTGCTCATCCTTCACATGCTTCTCCTGCAATCTGGAAAAGGTGAGAAGCAATTGTCAGCTCAACATAAAATCCTGGTGTTAATGAGAAAACTTAGTATCACAATCCAATTAGTGGAATGCAATAAAACCACAAGTCATGGGATATTTTAGTAAATACTTGTGTGGCAATTGGGAAATTAATGGAAGTTTCTGTAAATAAGGGATACATGGCTAGCTAAAATGTGAGTGTGCAGTTACCTTCTGCTATTTAAGGCCATTACAATTGCCATTAGCTTTCAAGTAGTGTCAGTGCACTGTATGGACACCAATCACACTCCAGCAATGATTTTCAGGGAAGTTTTAAGACAGGTTTGCTCCTTTAACCATTTGTGACATCAAGTATTAAGGGTAATGCTTAAATCTAGAAGCACCACAATTGTTTGAGGTATCTTGCAAATTCATCCACAAAATAGGAAAGTCTACAAAAAAGAGAGAAGCCACTTACTGTATGACAACCTCCAGGGCCTGACCTAGGGAGACAGGCTTATTATTGAGAACATTAAAATCCAGCTGATGACTGAGATAGGATGTGGCTTCCAGCAGACGGTTAAATTCTTGCTCCACCATTTCATCTTTCTCTTTGGGAACCTAGGAGACAAAACAACAAGCATTGTTCTTAACTCATTCATAAATAATGCAGCTGCTGAGAATAGCCCTTGGAAAAAAAATGTAATACCCTCAACTCTCTCAAATGGTCAGACACCAAGGCCTGTACAACACAATGTCACACTTTGGCAGGATGGGCACAAGAAGAGCTGTCAAACCACAATGACAACAGACTTCTCTTGCAAGAGAAAACCAAAATGCCTTAAGGGCTCATAAGATTTCCTTACTAGAAAGGAAGGTGTGCTCATCAAAGCTACAGATGCTTGCCAAAGGCTCTGATGGTAGGATGGCTCTACACAATTACAAGGCTTTAGAAGGCTTGGCATAGCTCAGTGAAGTAGACAGACAGTCATTTATCTTCTGGAATGGTCACTGTAAGAACTACCAAGCCAGCTTTTCTAGGATGATGGTGGAAACACTGCAGGACACGTATGGAATGGTGGTGTTTAACTGTACTGATGGTACTCAGTTAAATAGTGAGTGCTGCCAGTGTGAAAATACCTGTTACATGATGAGAGCTCAAGTGCTGGAAAGAGCAAACCTCACATCTGTTAAACCACTCACGGGTTAAACAAAGGTGAGAGAACTTGGCTTCCACAAAACCTCTGAAATGCAAAGGTAAAAACTCATGTGGAAAGAGCAGGTTATGGAAGAATATGTGCAGGTATGCTAGAATATTACTAAAATGCCTAAAAAGGGGGACACAATATTTCCTTCTTCCCTCTCTGGAAGCCATCTCATGCCAGACCACTAGCCTGGTAACAAACATACTTGAAATATTACTTCTTTTTAAAAAGGTTCATGGAAACAGTATCAGACTTACAGCTTGTCCATTGGCTTCATAAAGTGGACATTTTTGTTTGATCTTTGCCAGTTCCATATTTACTTGTTTGCTGACCACAGCCATGGGATTTCCTCCTGGAAAAGATTTTATATAGTTAACAGAGACTCCTGTAAAATTTGTCTGCAATTGAACAAAACCTCCACAGTTAAAGCAATTTCAGAGACTAAAACACCAGCTCCAGTGTATGCATTCCAGTGAGCTAGTGCAACCCTGCCAAAGATCTGCACCTCACAGGGATTCCTGCAATGAGGACATGGAAAAAAACCACATTTCTACTTCCAGGATCTGAAGGGGTCCTGCAGGGCAGCCAGAGAGGGACTCCTTGTCAGAAGCAGTATTGATATGACAAGAGTAATGGGTACAAACTGAAAGAGGGGAAATTTAAGCTGGATTATTAGGAATAAGTACTTTCCTGTGAGGGTGGTGAGACACTGGAACAGGCTGCTCAAGGAGGTTGTGGATGCCCCAACCCTGGCAGTGTTCAAGGCCAGGCTGAACAAGGCCTTGAGCAAACTGGTCCAGAGGAAGATGTCCCTGTCCATGGCAAGGGTCACTGGGACTAGATGATCTTTAAGGTCCCTCCCTATCCTTGAAGATTCCATGATTCTTTGAGTTAAACATAAAAATATTACAGCCTTTCAATAGGCAAACTGAAATCTGTTGTTCCATGATTGTGCAGGTTCTGTTCTTTGGAACCAGTTTCTGTATGCAATTTAATAAGACTAATCATGAGACAGACACTAAATTTAGGCTGTCAGTAAAAACAGGGGTTTATTATGGGTTTTACAGTATTTTATCATTTCACCACATTGCTGAAGGATATTCCACACTAAGCAACTGCCCATCTTCTCAGCAGAGTAGCCATGTAAATAACTGATGCCATCCCATAAAACAGTAATAAATAGGAAGAAATTTGCCTTGTTTGCCATTGTTTTTACAACCATTTTTGAAATGACGTGGAGAAAGTACTTTTGGGGTTTCAACCTGAAGAAAGGCTATCTCTTTAGAAAGGCTCTCCATTTCCCCTCCTCCCTTGTTTTCCCATGTAAATTGAAAGAATACATTCTGTCTCTTTAGGGTCTCTCCCATCATAGAGCTTTGTTATTTATGAAAACTATTAACTGCCAAAAAGGCTGAATGAGAACACACACTTTGAAAGAGTTAAAAATACACAATTATTTTGCCCATGAAAGAAAATAGCATTAAAATTTCACATTTACAACATCTTGCCCCCCAGTTTTCCTCTTGTCTTTTTGATTTTGAAGAACTCACCCAGTCCTGTCACCACCATTGCTCCCAGATCAGCAACATAATTCCCCTTGCGAAAGGTAGCAACTCTTCCTCCTACTCGGTCCTTGAAAAGCAAGATATGAAACCTCCAGTTACATTCAGTAAGACATCCCACTGAAATATAACCACTGAAACATCTACAAAACATGGTGCAAGTATTCTCTTAACTGAGGGTTCAATAAACAGAACGGACACTTTTCCAAAAAGCTCTGCAAATAAACTCTATCACAATTAATTTGCCTAAGTTAAGCAATAAAATGCTTAAATAGCATTTAAAAAAGGAGAAGAAAAAAGGAAAAAAAATAGTAAAATGCTTAAATAGCATTTAAAAAAGGAGAAGGAAAAAAAATATAAAAAAATATGCCTAATCTGATTTGGACAGATTTCATTATTTCTACAGTAATTCTACACTGTGATTCCAAAGCCAATCTCTTCACTGTCCATGCACAAATTTAGTTATGTACTGGGTTTCCTCCTCCCCTTGATGCCTAAAGATTTTTAGATTTTTATACATTTTTCATATATTTGTAACTTTGTAGACTGTCAATACACAGTTATAACTTCTAGTACTTTCCCTTTAGTCTGGCATTCTGGACTCACATTCTGCTTTCTGATGAAAAAACAATTTCTAATCATGAAAGAAGATTGTTTTAAGCTGTTTCTGGTGTAAGCACACAACACTAGCACCTGACTATCCAGCCCAGCTGTGAGAAAGCACCAGAAGCTCCCACAAGGACAGATCCACTCCTTGTGAGCCAGGCTCAGTAGCAGCAATCCACCCTGACTGCCTGGAACACCACTCAGTGACCCACCCCAGCAGGCTGCTGGGACACAGCCCAGTTCTAGAACTGAACAGGGTTACTGGTTAAGCTGCAATAGAAGTAAAATAGCACAGAAATTCATACTCTGGCTTCCAGAACTGTGACATCCATTCCAAAACTCTGCAACTGGCGAGCTGCTGCCAACCCAGAGACTCCAGAACCAATAATGATCACCTTTCCTGTCTTCTTGGCTAAAGAAAGAGAAAAATCAGCTACAGCACTCCTTTATAAGTGCAGTATTAAATTGTAAACAGTATTTTTAAGTTGCATTTGAGAGATACCAAGAACAAAGAGTAGCTTTCTTCTTGTGAGTAGTTCTGACAGAATAAATTCTTTAACAAAAAGAAAGCTGAAGTAATTCTGAATGTAACGCTGAGACAGGGACAAGGAAAATACACCAGCAGAATATCTGAAACAAGGAAGAAAACAGGGGAAAAAATGCTTCCAGACAACTGTCTGAAGAAGAAAGCAATTCATATTAATTACAGGGAACAAAGTATCATGGCTTGATTTCCTTCTGCCCCAGAAGAATAAAACTTAAAAAGGGCAGAGAAGTTCACTTGCAAAATTCAAGAATCACATAAGCATGTAACAGATCTAAGTACAATATTGTGTTTCTGACTTTAGCTATTCAAATGAGGGACCAAGATAACTCATTAGAAAGTGACAGTCACTGAATTATCTACAGAAGATTTGCCAACAATTTTTCCTCTCAGTGATTTACATAAATACATGGCTTCTCTATGCCAAAATAAAACACATTAACATCAATAGCCAGATGGCCTTCCAGCCTTTTTAAAATTTTCTTAGCACTGCAATTCTAAAAAAGAACACTTAAAACTGTCCTAAGAAATCATGGAACAGACTTCAACTAGAAACAAAGTTCAAGCCTCTTACTTGGAAGGGGTTTCACCCTTTTGTAGATGCCAAAGTTGATCAGCCCATGACGCTCCAGGTAGCTGTGGACCCTGTGAACAAGCACTGTGTCACCTGAAAGAATGCAGACATTTTCAAAATGATTCTGTATGTTCAGCAGCACATCCATACTGAGCAGTATTCACAGCAGCCTGGTCAAGTGCCACTAAACACACCCTGCCCTCAGCTCTGCTGCCCTCCTGACCCACTCATCTTCCTCACCAGGCCTGAGGCAACTTTTCTGAAAAGCTCCCATGCTGTCCTGCAGTTCTGAACCCTGCCTGAAAAGCTGAACAGGACATTAGGTGCTTCTTTTAATCTAGTGCAGCAGAACACCTTTTCTGAAACTGACTGCAAAATCCCAAGATCATGACACAGATGTGATTTGCCAGTATTATGCTAATACTTACAGCAGCACTGAATTCCCATTTTTATTTTTAAAAGCACAATAACTCACCATTTTGCAATCTTTGACAGTATATTTGCATTCATTTCAGCACTGTTTTCTTCTTCAATTATTTTTTTAAGGCTATTTTCCACCTTTTCCCAGTTTATTGGGATCTTGTCTGAGAAGTGTGGAATGGTCTCCATTTGCAAGCAGTAACTCCTCACTCTTTTACTGCCTTCTTGCATCACACCCAGTCTAAGTCTTAAACCTCCCAAAAACCATATGACTACTAACATTTTACAGCTAAAAAACCACCAAGAAGCTGAAGCAAACCTTAAAAGCTGCACATGAATTAACCCTACTGTAACAACCCATCTTTTTAGCAGCTTTTCTGAATCCTGCTAGTGGTATTTCTTTATTAGACAATGAGCTCTACTAAATCTGAACCAATATCCCAGTCTGTACACAACCACTCCTGGAGCTCCACTAACAAAGGACTGAAGCATCTGAAGCAGCTTTTCCTCAAACAAAAGTGAAAGAAAACAGCAATGATACATCCATTTTGGCAATGAAAATCTTGACTTACTGTTATAAGGTGCTTCTAACTGTTGGATAGTTGCTTCAAATGTCAGCTGAATCTTTGGGTTATCCAACCAGAGCTGCAGCTGGATTTAAACAAACAACACAACACATCATATTAAGCAATATAAGAGAGGTGTTTTCCAGGCCCGTGTTTGCTACCAAATACTCTCAGGACATGAAACCCCCTAATGAATTAAATTTTGGCAGGACTACCCAAGCCACACTGAACTTCACCTTCCAGTGCTTCTTAAGGTGCACCAGTCTGTTTGAAATTCCCACACCATTTCAAATAAATGGAAACACACCAAAGTAACATAAAGATGTGTGTGGCTGGCAAAGTCAGCCAGCACTGTCTTTTTGGTATCAGATTTCATGTTTTCATAAAAGCTACAGCAGTACTTATCACGTTATAAGGTTTATTTATCTCCAACATTTAATGATCCAATCCATCTTCACCAATATAAGACACAACCATGGACTACACCAGCCACACATACACAAAAAAACACATTTACAGGACATTCACAGTTCAAAAACTGAGCAGGAAGAACTGTCTGTGATATGTTAGTAGGTCAATTCATACTGGAAAAGAACTGCCCCCAAAAGAACTCCTACTTTGTAGCACAGAGGCAGGAGTTAATAAATAATTTTACTGTTCCATGCCTAGTTCTAGGTCATACATAGCATTTCCACTCCATTTTGCATTCCATAATTACTAATTTATTTGGGTATTTCTCTAGAGTTGCATTACTGAGCTCCACAGTTCCTCACAGACACCAAGTAAAAGTGGAAATCCTACAACTGTAATGAATAGGAATGGTTAAGAAATATTTTCCTTATAATTTGAGAGGCTACTTGAGCCAAATGGCTAATTAGGAGTATGCACACTGCAGTTTGCAGCTCTGCTGAGCACTGGGTTCATATCAGCTGTTCCACAGTCTCTGCCATCCTTGCTGGAAGAGTTCCTCTCACAAGCCTTCCTCAAAGAGGATTCCTGCTCAGGAACTTCTCCATGTCCCTCTCTAGTGAATAATGCCCACAGACCAGCAGAGCTGCTTTTCCCTGCAAATATCTCTCTCCAGTAATTTCTTAGCTTTAGTGGAAGGTTTTTCTGCTTCCAACACATTTGTCAAAGGATTATTTACTCACTGTTCATTTTGTGCAAATTGTTTTCCAAACTTTCTGGCATGCTCTGGCCTGTTTTTACACATCCCATGACTTCCCAGAAGTTACAGCTTGAGTTAGAGGAAAACATTACAGGAATAGCAGAAGTCATGCTCTTAGCATGAAGATGTCCACCACACATAAATTTTAAATAACTTCTTTAAGTTATTAAGCACTGGGTGTTACCATGGTCGATGCCCCATGATGTTTCTTGATCATCTGTAGTCTGTGAAAAAACTGAGTGGTGCATAATATGTTTTGTCTCTTAATATGGTAACACAGCAATTTTCAAAATATTTCTTGCTTTCCCACTGTAATTTTTCTAACATTACTTCAGTTTTCCAAAATACAGGAGAAAGCCTTGATCCCTCTTTTGGATGTTATGAATACACTACAGATTCTTTATGCTGCTCACAGCACAGATCAAGAACTGGACAGCACATTTCTTAACAACTTAGGAGCATGACAGGATGCCAGAAATGAAACCCCACTGTCTCAAAACCAAAAATTCCATCAAGTGCTAGACATGGTAACTGCCAAAAAGTCTTAGCAAGGTACACACATTTCCTGCCCTTTTTTCACCAATATTTTACAGCAAACTTACGGTGCGGTTCCTGATGTACAGAAACACCTTCTGGGTCTGCTGGGGCCCACTGATTATATCAGGGAAGCAGGCAGCTTCTTGAGATGTCATACGGTCATGTGGAAGTCTGCTCTGGAAAGCTGCACCCTCCACACCTACAATAAAAAGACAAGTAGTCTACAGGCACTGCAAAGGAACACTGCCCTTCCCAGCCAGAGCATGCAGCCAGGAGACAATACCGTGGCCAATTTCATGGGATGCTTTCCTTTAATTCTTTTATTTACTTCCGAAAGAGATACAGGTTTCCATGTCAACAGTTCTTTGAATTACAGGTTAGAGTTAATAAAAAAGCTACACTACAGGGGGGATAAAACAAACAAGCAAACAAAACCCCCCAAAACAACAAAGCCTGAAAAATAAGTGGGGCAGGGGCACATATCAACACATTATATATAACACACACACATATATATGTGTGAACAATAAAACACAACTATTTTAGATGCTGTCCTTAATTTGTGTGGTTTCCAGTTTCTAACAGAACTGGAAAACTGTTTTAGATCCTGTTCAAAGCCAAAATATCTGTAATATGCAGGCACAGCATCTACCATCCCCTCTCACCTGCTTCTCAAAGTTTAATTTCCACTGACCTTCTGCAGCTAGAGGAACCCACCTTAAACTCCCATTTTGCATATCTGATATACTTACAGCAGCAGTGCAATGAAATACAATCACACTTATGCATTTCCTGTGCTCCCTCCCCAAGTGCTGCCTACAAATAACAGATTTCCTACTGTTCTTTCTGAATACTCCACATGTAAAACACTGATGCTGAACCCATACAGGAGAGCTTTTCCCTATGGAAAGCCTTAATTAATAGTGGAACCTGCATTTCTACCAATCCACACGCTGGCAGTGATATAACTGCATTTCTGCACCCTGCTTTCCTCAGTCTCTGGTATGCTGTACTACAGAAAAAGTGACAAACTAAGACACAGCTGCATCAAGTGCTACAGCACAAGTGCAGAAAGCAAATCCTGAAGGCACAGTGAGCAAAACAAAGTACTGAGATGTGAAATACAGCAAGAAAAATATAAATCTCCCATGTCCAAGAAGTGACTTTGATCAGGACAGAGGACAGGGCATTCAATCTAGAAAGAAAGAAGCCAATATGTGCCAGGGGCAAAAAACCCCACAAGTAACACAGTATGATTAAGATCACTTGCTGAAACTGGAATTGCTCAAAAGATTACAATAAATAGCAAAGTAAATATAAGATTGCAGTGTGTTACACTAACCAAAACAACTGTTTAAGAGTTTGAAGTTCATGTACAGCAGCACATGTAACTGTACCAGGGAGAGAATTCCCTGCTTTTAATTCTGGTGCCACCACACACCCCTTTAACTTGAAAGCATTTTTACTTCCCAAAGGTGCTGAAAAAAAAAAAATCAAGGAAGGAGATGGTTGTGAAACTAACAAAACACCAAACCAAAAAACCCCAAAACAAATCAACCAAAAGCAAGCACATTAAAAAACCCAACCAAACAAATAAAACCCACAACCCAAAAAAACGCCCAAAACCTACAACCAAAAAAAAAAGAAAACCCCAAACCAACCAACAACAAAAAACCAACCAACCAAAAAAAACCCACAACCAAAAATTCATTTACAAGGAAAGATCAAAAGATCTGTGTGATGACTCAAGGCACAGAAAAGTATAATTATTGACACAAATTTTACAACAAGAAGAAATTAGTAACAGAAGCTACAGAGCATTGCAAGTAAAATAAAATTAACCACAGGAGAAGTTGAGGAGGAACACCAACAATGTTTCCTACACTAATATTCAGCTGTGGGATGGAAACCCATAGCTCTACTGTGACTTCAGTTTCTCCAGCAACAATCAGTGCCCAGCCCTTCTGCTGTCCTTCCATCTAACACTGGCCCAGGTGTGCCAACGCCTGTGCAGGAATGCACATGCTCAGCTGTGAATTCTGTAAAACTGGGCATGGAAATCAAACCAGTTACCAATTCTCTGATACTTTATTAATGCTAACAATCTTAATTAAGGCCCTAGATGCTCAAGTGCTAGCAAGAAGGTCAGCAGCACAATTTTCACAGAATGGCCAGTGAAGACCTGAACTGCTGAACCTGACTCCCTGACTCTTCAGGTTTGTGCTAGAAGTGTGATTCTCCAGGTACCTGCTAGAAAGCCCTGTAGCATCAAACACCTGCAAACTCTCAGATGTGTGGATTTAAGGCAACTTGGCAGTGTCTTGAAAAGCTCTGGGATTGATTTCTACAAATTGAGCAGCCAGAGAGCATGGTGCTACTAACAGTTTTGAAAAGAACTCCCAAGGTGGGTTGAGCTGGGGGGGCTTTTAAGGCCAAATACCTATCATGGCAATACACAAACTTTAAAACTAGAGTAGCAGAGTAGCTCCAGATGTGCACAGGTATTCAGAGGAAAAAAGCGCTAATAAAACAACGCACAAGAGTGTTTCATACAAGAATTTAGAAAAAGCATAGCTATTAATAGCAAAGATAGCATTTTTATTTGGCCAACCACTGGAAGATCTTCTAAGAACTAAATGTCCTTGAATTTACTTCTGCAACTACACAGCTCAAATCTAAATGGATTTGGATTTCAGGCTGACTAAATCCCATTTCACACCCCTACTGCTTGTATTTCATGAAAGCTACACATTACAGGGATTACCAGTTTGAAACTACATGTTTCTCCTTGGAAAGGTTCTGCCTAGACTGGATTATCAGCTCCTCTTCTCACACATTTGCACACACACACTTGCCCATTTCCTGACATTCAGCACTAGCAAATAACTGGCTGAAGTTTTGAGTATATCCTTGCCCACAGAAGAAATCCTGAGGGATCTGCTCATTTAAAGATTTACTAAAACATCTGCAGATGAACACACTGAATGAAGGATTCTGGCTGTTGAATTGGACAGTTATTAGACCATACTCTCAGCATATAAAATATGCAGAATTTCCAGTCAGCCAATGACTACCTAAAAATGAAATAGGCAAGGCATCCTTAAGCCCATGAGCCACAATAGCCAAGCAAGTGGTAACATCCATAGCAGTATTTGGCTCCCTTACTTACAACAGCAAAGGATGCACTCTTAGATGAGTATCTTGAAGTTCTATTTGCTTCAAAAAGAGCAACTTGGAGGTACAGAATAGGTTCTGGAGCCTTTGACTCTTGTTTAAAACCCTAATCCTGAAGTGAGAGCAAAAGCAGCAGAGTTGAAGGAAGATTTTAAGTAGCACTCCAAGTACTTAGGAGTAAAGACACCAATCCTGTGAATGAAGCAGTGAGTACTGCCAGCAGCAGTACCAAGGCTAAATGGCAAATGCAATCCACAATCCAGTCCAGTGAGCAGCACACTATGAATCTGCCCAGCAGACAATGTCCTGGGCTAAGTGCTGGCACACAGGTCAAACACAAACCCGTTCAAAAGGCAAAAAGAAAGGAGCAAAAAGGTATTCCGTGCTATGTTTCTTCAGCAGATTAGAAAAAAGGGTACACTGGTCTAAAGCTCTCTGTGTCAATCTAGGTGGTGCAGACTGGCTAGGCAAGAAACAGCTTTCTGTATGTTTAGACTCCTCTGAACATGGAGAGGAGTGGAGGGATGAGAGATCGGCCTGAGGCATTTCAGCACAGGTTAGCTAGCGCCCTTTTCCACAGTTGTTACAGACCTCAACTGAAATCTGAATACCCCACACTTTTTAAACAGGTGGGAACACAACTCCTGCACCTCTTGCTAAAGTGGGGACAACCACACCCATGCGCACTTGCAAGCATCGATCCCTAACTGGCGGCTCTTGCTACTCAGTGGCAAGCATCAAACGCCACCCTCACCTGATGCTTGGCCGTCTCCATACCCTCCAGAACTGTCGTCTTGAAGTCCTCCTGCTTGCCCTGTGGAAGGAAAGAGGAGAACTCAGGGACCTTACTCCATAAATTAAACCATACTGGACATAAAGGCCCGGCAGTTGGCGTTTTAGGTATTAAATTTCACCAACTAACTAAACCCGTTTTCTGAGAATCCCATCTTCTGGAACCTAGATTAAGGGCACCAAAAAATTATGTTCTAAAGTGTTATCCAGGTTACTGGAACGCTTTACATCAGATTTTATGGGAAATAAAGAAGTACACCATATGTAGCATTCCTGGTGGCTAAATATTTACGATCTGGCAGATGGATACCATCAGATTCTATGGATCTCAAACCCTGAGAATTTGATTATCTTGCCTTTGGTGCTCCCAAGTCTCCCCATATCCCAAGGAGATAGTTTAAAGCATTTTGAAAAGCCTCTTATGTTCAGGAGACCCTATTTTTTTCCCCATAAACCCTTCCTTTAAGCTTGATACTAGACCAATTCTTGAAAGGCTCAGACCACTTACTTGGCTTCAGTGCTCTTGATACACCATCAGTGTTCTGACACACTAAGATTGTCTTTGAAGCCAAATGCACATGATACCATTGATCAGTGATGTGATCAATGCCCAGCACTGAAAGACATCAGTCTTTCAACATTCCCAGCACTGACAACATGAGGAAAAGGCTAAGCACACACCTGAAAGATCTGAAGATGTCTCAGAATTACCTTAGCCTGCAACTAAGTCCTAAACAGGACTGCAACACAAGCAGGAACAGAGCATGTTGAGAAGAGAGATGAGTACAGCTGCAGTGTTGCAGGAACAAACACACCTCACCCACTGCTCACTTCACAGGAGGCCCTGGCTCTGAGGTGAGCTCATGAGCAATATTCTTCCACCACCAGAAGTTTCCCATCACCTGCAGAGCTCAGGAAGCCATGGCACACTCCAGAGATGGCCCAATGCTGCTCAGCTGGCTCCTGCTGTACCAAGGCTCCTTCAAACCACACACTTCAACAGTCATCAAGTCCAAACCAACATGCACTGCAACACACTGCAATGGTCACTGGAATGGAACAGCTGCTTCCTAGAGCACAACTGCTCAGGTGTAATCTCCAAACAGGTAAGAGCAAGGTCTGACCTGAGGCTAAACACACAACTGTGAGCACTCTTTAGAGTCTGGGTGGACAATTTTGCCAGAATGTCATTTAAGGCTCTTAGGTGACACACTAACTAGGAAGAATTTCATTTGAACTACAGATTTAACCCCTAAAGCAAGATACAGAAAGTTAAATATGTTTCCATACTGTGCTAAACTGGATTAAACTAGAATGTCACAACATTAAACACCTACAAATAAAACAAAATAGGAACTGAAACAAGACAGACATTTTCCCTCAATACAGCAGAGCAGCCATAGTTAGCATTGTATAAAACCAGTCTGCCAAAAAAACCTCACAAATAATTGTATTTTGAAAGGCCTCACAAGAATCAAGTTTTGATTCTGTGAATAAATGCATCTGCAACAGCAAGATGTAATCCTTTACTTGATCTACATTGCAAGTACTTTATGTTGCAGGGAATATTTCAAGACTTGCTTCCATTCTGGGAGAGACTAACACAACTGAAACATGAATATTTACAGTCAAGCATAGGCCATTAATTTGCAATAAGAGTTTCACCAGTGCCTCCCCTAAGTTAAGAAATTAAACAGACTCTGACTTCAGTCTATGGCATTCATAATCCCTGAATTAACACTGGCAATGAGCAGAGGGGAAAAAGTTACTCTCAGCTTACTTACAGAAAAAAACCAGAATCTTCTCTTCCCATCATTATTACTGATTGCTGGGACACAATTCTAAGTGCTACCCAGTCAGAGCAGAGAAGTGTGGAAACAAGGCCTGCTAGTGAAGATTGCCTCTCCTTCCCTGGAAGAAGGGTTCTGGTTGAAAAGGAACTAGCAGCAAGCAAACCCCTGATCCCTGCTAACATCAAACTCCTGCAGCTCAACAGAACATGTGCAAGAGCAGAATCTGCTCCAAGCCTCAAGGCAACAGAGTAACAGACCATGAGCTGAAGAGCAATGAGGAAGAAGGTCCAGAAGGGAATCTACTTCAAATAATTATCCATTGTCTCAAAATTAAGAATAACTGCACATGAGTATCACAGAGTACTGAATTTATTTAGGAAAACAGACAAGTCAGATAAAATGAAGAGACAAAGCACCACTAAGTTTGACCATGCCCTTGATCTTAATCTTGATCATATTCAGTTTCTTGGAAAACAGCACCTAAAAATTTAGGATTACCACAAAGTAAGAATACTGACAACACTAAAAGGCCAGGAGCTAGTAAAGAAAATATTCTGTAGTTCTAAAAATGGAAATCCAATTTGGTGAGGGGAAAAAAAAAAAAAAAGAAAAAACAAAAGAACCAAGCTCCTTGATTGAAAAAGGGATACTGACAAACAAGAACACAAATGTCATCAGTCAGCACTGAAAGGGAGTTTGGAAGCTTTTTGCTATTAGACAATATTCCTCAAGTAAAAAGAGAAGAGATACTCTAAGAAAATTCTCTTAACCATGAAATACTGTCACACCTTTTGCTCTGCAATAGCATGCAGTATATCCTGCAAATCCACCCTGTAACAGCCAGGACACCTGGAATTCCCCACAGCTGAACACATGAATGGAACCTACTCAGGAAGACCAGCACTGTGCTGTCACCTCTGGTGTGACACTTAATAATCCCCTGCACTGTAAGCTGTCTGTGGGGACAGGCTAATGAAACACCAGACACTAGCACCAGGACATTTCTAAGTTGCACAATCAGGCTTTTCAGCTCAAAAGCTGTAATGTGACAACTTCATGCTTCTACTGCATTACCTGCATTTTTACAGGCTTTAAACACAGAAGTGAATGCTTTAAGGTCTGCAATGAGTAAATTAACAGTAATATCCAGGCTAACTAAAATTTCTCTAGATTTTCAGTATGCAATCCTCCACTAGTATTACTGTCCAATTCAGTATTTCTTATTGAACACTTCAATTTTTCCTTCAAAGTGATAGGGAGAGAGAAAGCCTCAATTATAAACACTGGTTTTATACACAGCAGACTCCATGCTGCCTCCTCCTTCTAAAGGGTGGCTGAATTAGAAGTTTCAATGCACTTTTAACAGCCAGCATAAGATGACCTGATGTTCTTGACACCTACATTAATAAAGACAAAAATAGGGAGATCCAGAAAAACATATAGTCTCAGAAACCTTTAAAATTACAGTAAGACTAGCTGTGGAATGACAGCTTGAAATCTGTCTTCTTTCTACTTTATTGCTTCATGTATATTCACAGAATTTCTAGGAATAGAGAAATGATATGATGACCCAAAACCTACTCATTTCTAGGCAGCTGGATACAGCCTGTTTGAAAATTGGTTGTACTTGGATGCTAAATACTGTGCTTGCAAAGGAAGTGTCTAAGAGGCTGCTGTGTGTATAGAACAGCATGGCTCATCACTGCTCATCTTCCAGGTTTCTTCCCTCATGGGACAAAACCTGTTCCACTGTACCTCACTGATTAAGCCTCAAACTGATTTCAACAATCATTCTTAGAGGCACAAAATGGAATCTGAGAGAAATCAAAAAGTGTATTAATATTAGGTTTTCAGGGATTAAACACCATGTCTAAGCTAAATTAAATAGTAAGCTTAAAATATTTGCTTAATTACACCTATTAAAAATCCATTTTTGCTACATCAGCTACAACTGGGGTGGCAGGATTTTCATCTCTGCAAGTACTTCAGCCAAGCATAGGAGCTACAGTACTCCTGTATCAAGGCAAGAGCCAACAGCTGCAACAAGGAAAGGTTACAATGGCAAATCATAAGAGATAAAACACACCCACAGCTTTTAATATTTTTCCTGTGACTGAAGGTAGGTATCCCCAAGCTAACATCACTCCTGTGTTCTCAAACCTGCAAGCCAGAAAGAAAATCAAGATAACTGAAGACTAACAGTGACTTACATCTGTGATGAACCTGCAAAGATTCAACCACTAGATTTCAGCTCTTGTCTAACAAGAGTACACACATTATCTACATGAAATCTCTTGATTCTGAACTTTGCAAAAGCATCACCTTCTAGGCAGCTGAGTGATAGCAACAGACCTCACTCATGGTGGCAGCTGCAAACACAATGGAGGTAAAGAATAGGGTACTGCTACTACCACAAACTCCAAAAACTGCCTCTGGAAAAAGACTGACCCAAAAACATCCCAATGTAAAGTGAAGCCTTCTCTAAGCTAATAAGGAAAGCACTGAATACTGAAATTTAATGCTGAAATTTAAGCAAACAGTATCCAACCAGAACTTATGATTGGAGTCATAATTTAAAGCCACAGGAATCACAGTAGTTTAAATCTGTTCTTCTGCATAACAAACCCCCATAAACCAAACCTCTTTTCTCTCTGAGGAATAAGTGAATGTTTGTACCCAAGCAGGTGTGGCAGCAGAGAGCCAGAGAGGCTATTCTGGTCAATAAGCTTCCAAAGACAGGTCTATAAGGATCATGAGAATCTAGCACATGAGGTTTGGCTTCATTTGGAATTATATTAGTGCATATTCCTATCTTTATCAGGCTGTTCTGCATTTCTCCCTCCTTCCACATATGGGGCCAGCAAATAAAACACTGTAGAACAATTATTCAAAACCAGATTGAAACCAGACATGGGATTCATGATGCCACACCCAGCCCTACCTAATTTCTGTTAACAAATCAGCTAAATAGTTTCAGAGAAGGTCTCTCTCTACTCACCAGACGGCTCCTCTGGCTCACTTTCATTCTCTTCTTCTGCAGGAGCTGGTGGAGGTGGTGGGGGTAGTTTCTTCTCTTTCTCAGCTTTAGCATTTCTCTCTTCTTCAGAATAATACTCATCTTCTGACAGGTTTGCAAGACTCTCATCCATCTCTCTATACTCGACCTGTGAAAAGCACAACAGAACATAAACACACTGAAGATGCCTTTAAGTCAGGCTACTAACATTAGTGCTGCAAGTAACAAAATTGCTTACAGTTTAAAGAGAAGGCTTGAGTTACCTTATGCAGATTCTTATTGCAGATACCATGTTAAAATGCAACAAAACTTAAAAAGTTCCAAATGTTTTTGCCTCCACCTACAAAAAAAATCTTCAGCATCCTGTAACAGGAGCTTTCATCAAGCCCAGTTTAGGTGTGTTTTATTATCATTTAACCTCTCTGGCTTTCTTCCCTTCCTTCATATCCCTGCCAAGGGATGAAAAGCAGCCTCTGTGCCCATTTCATGTGTTCAAACCTGAATTTCATCTGCTAAGCACAGATGACCAGAAGCACACACAAGATTTCCTGCAAAAATCCCACCTGTGCCCTGTATGGTCTCCTGCTTACTGGGAATCCTGTCCTAGTACAGAGGCTCACAGCTACTTCCCCTCCAGAATGGTCACACTGGGGGCTCAACACAAGAAACACCTCTTCCCCTCATCCCCCCTAATCTTTATTGCCACGTATGTCTTGTTCTGTTACTGTTCCCCAGTAAAACAGATAAAATTATCAGCCAAAAAGACTCACTCCAATTTGAAGGAACATGGCAACCCCAAGAACTAGCCTGGAAGGGCTGCACCTCATACTGCTTAGTCACCCAAGCCTTAATCCACAGTAAGAAAGTTCTGTATATCACTAGTGAATTTCCCTACTGACTGGAAAGGAAAAAAGCACTTCTCAATATGCAGCCATGAGAAAAGTAAAAAGAAAGCAGCTAGTGATCCCCCAACATCCAACATGTCAGCTTTCACCAGGAAATGACAAAACCTCTGGATTTCTCACCAAAAGATCTTTCATAGTCCAATTTCAGCCACTAAAAAGGAGCAATCAGGGGCACAATTCAAAGCAGCTTTGGGAAGCCTGTGTACAGGAAACCCTGGATTCTTTAAGACACTAATACAATCCATGATCTGCTATCTTTTAAATATTTACGTTCCACAATGTCCAGCATATTCAGGTTTTCACACTGTTGCACCTCCAGGACCTCCCTGTGAACTCCTGCTCTAAAGCAATTAACAGTGACCACTCAGCCCATCCATACATTACCAGAGGTAATGAAGCCACACACAGCTACTTCTGTCGGCCCTCATTCCCTCTGAGCTTCCACAACTTCTGAAGAACAATCAAGTTCAATAAAAACCCCTAAGCTCTCCCCTAGATTAATTTTTAACCTAGATACCTTCCCAAACTAAGTTCACCCCACAAACACTCATGGGAAGGTGACCCCACGCTGGCCTGAGTGCCCAAGGGGACAGATGGGGCCCCAAGAGACAAACACCCTTTGCAGATGGGCACTGCCAGTGCAAAGAGACAGCACCAACACACACCCCACACAGAGCACTAATTCCCACTCGTTTCCAGACCACTATAAAGAAGGAATGCTGCCTCTGAAGATCACAGAATGGTTTGGACTGGAAGGGACATTCAAACCCACCTCATCCCACCCACCCTGCCATGGGCAGAGACACTTTTCACTAGACCAGGGTGCTCCACACCCTGTCCAACGTGTCCATGAACACTTCCAGGGAGGAGGCAGCCACAACTTCTCTGAGCAACATGTGCCAGGGCCTCAACACCCTCATTGTAAAAAATGCCTTCCTTATAGTGAGTCTAAACCCACCTTATTTTGATTTAAGAGATGCACCAGACTGCCAACCCAACAACTCCTACATGTGAAGGACCAGTTCAGCCATCACACCACACAATGGCTCTGAAGAGCCACATTCAATGCCACAGGACAAAACAGTTCCAAAAAGTAATTTCAGCTTCCATGTCAAACATCCCAACCCCAGGCACATTCAAATCTTCACTAATTTCTGAAACAAGGTTTCCAAGAAAAGGTTTCACAAAAAAAAAAAAGGTAATGTTCTCATCTTCAGAACAACAGATGAGAATTACATACTACACACCCAAACTACTGAAGACCTTGTACAGCTGTTGGATTTCATTACTAAATCCCACCCTTACACAGCTCTCCAACACCAGTGGAGGGAAGGTGAGGAGCAGTGGGCTGAGCATGGCCATCACCTTCGCAACCCTAAAAAACTAACATCATCCTCGGCACACGAGCCTGGAGAGGCTCATCCATATACCTCAGTAACAGAAGAATTTGCTGATCAAGTGTAAGCTCACGAGCGCCCCAATGCACTGCCATGGATTTGGGGTGTTTTTACTGTTCGGTATCCGGTCAGAAACCGCAGAAAGTTCCTAAACAGCTACAGAAAGCTCGCCTTTATGGGCAGGGCACGAGTCCTCCCCACAGCCCACGAAGGTGAGCTGGAACAGGGGATCTTGAGCTTAATCTTAAGCCAAAGTGGCTTCGCGAGCCCTTCGCACTCAAGGCACCGGAGCCCTCGGTCCCGGGTATGCTTCGGCAGGGCCCGGTCCTGTGCTGAGCCCCCCGGCAGGGCCGGGGCACCCCGAGAAAGGGCTGGGTGGGCAGGCAGGGCCGGGCAGGCAGGGCCGGGCCCCCAGAAGAAGGGCTGGCCGGGCAGGGCAGGCAGGGCCGGGCCCCCAGAAGAAGGGCTGCCCGGCCGAGCGGGGCCGGGCCCGGGACGCCCCTGCCGGCCCGGGCGTCGCGCATGAGGCACCGGCGGGGCCCGCAACCGGGCCGCCCCACACCTACTTTGGCTCGCTTGCGGCGGCTGGTCCTGCGGCCCTCAGGAGTCTCGGCGATGCCGGTGGTTTCGGCGCCGGGCGCAGGGGCGGCCCCGACGGCCGAGGGCTCGGACACACCGCCCGGCGGCGAGGCCCGCGGCGGTTCCTTCTTGCGGGGCGTGCGCTCCGAAGCCCCGCCGCCCTCCGAAGAGGAGCCCAGGGCCCCGGCGGCGGGGGCGCCACCGCCCCGGGCCCTGCGCCGCGGCGCCCCCTGCAGGCCGCGGGTCCGCCTGGCGGCCGCGCCCCACCCGCGGAGCCGCCGCTCAAAGAGCCTGAGGGGACACGGGGCACTGAGAGGGAACAGGGCTGGCACATCGACCCCGGGGGCCTGAGGGGACACGGGGCTGGCACATGGACCCCGGGAGCCTGAGGGGACACGGGGCACTGAGCGGGAACAGGGCTGGCACATGGACCCCGGGAGCCTGAGGGGACACGGGGCACTGAGAGGATGAACAGGGCTGGCACATCGACCCCGGGAGCCTGAGGGGGCACAGGGTTCACACCTCTCCCGGGGACTCTGAGGGGGCAGAGGGCTGGCACACAGCCCCTGGGGAGCCTGAGCGGGCACAGGGCTCATACATCTCCCCAGGGCAGCCTGAGCGGGCACAGGGCTGGCACATCGCTCCCGGCCCTCACAAACCAAGCGGCACATGCTGCCTTGCCCCCGCTGCCCAGCCTGCACCCCTGGCCCACGTACACGGCAGCAGGAGCTGCTGGACCCAGAGCAGGAAGGAGCCCTGTGTCCGTAACTGTCCCGTGTGAGCAAATGGAGGCCCTTGAAAGGCTCTGAAAGGGACAGGTTTATGTCTATTTCATCACAGAATGGTTTGGATTGGAAGGGACCTTAAAGGTCATCTGAAAGCATGGGCACAGACACCTTCCACTAGACCAGGTTGCTCCAAGCCCTGTCCAACCTGGACAGGGATGTCCAACCTTTCAGGGATGGGCAGCCATGGCTTCTCTGGGCAAACTGTGCCAGTCATCCCTCAGTAAAGAATTTCTTCATAATACCTGATCTAAATCTACTTTCCTTCAGCTTAAAGACATCCCTTCCTGTCCTGTCACTCTAGGCTCTTGTCCAAAGTCCCTCTCAGCTCTCTTGCAGCCCCTTTATGTCCTGGAAGGGGCTGTAAAGTCTCCCTGCAGCCTTCTCCAGGTGAGCACCCCCAGCTCTCCCAGCCTGTCTCCAGAGCAGAGGGGCTCCAACATCTCTGTGGTGGGGACATCTCTGTGGCCTCCTCTGGATTCATTCCAACAGGCCTTTGTTGTACAGGGGATGCCAGAGCTGCAGGTCTCACCCCAGCAGAGCAGAGGGGCAGAATCCCCTCCCTTGACCTGCCCATCCCTGCTGGGGATCAGCCCAGGGCACGCGGGGCTCTGGGCTGCCAGCACACATTACCAAGACACATCAAGCTTCACATTCACAAGGGATTCCATTTTAGTCCTGTCACCTTTCAAGGTCTGCTTTTCCTCAGCATGTCTTCTCTCAGGTTCCTACTTAGACCAGCAGAAAAAGCTGGTAAGGCAGGAAACAGAAGTTGAAGCTCCAGCCTTTGGACAGGACTCTGCTGAGGAATGTCCAGCAGTCTCCCAGATGCCAGAGATGTTCTGCTCTGGGATCCCTTGAGTATCTGAAGAGTATTTGCTAGAGGTAACAGAAAACTAAATGCACGCTTGCTAATTTTCTTGCCTATTCTTTAAAAGTGGTCACTCCCTGGAAGGGATGGTGGCTGCTATAAGCACACCTACTTTGCCATGAAGCTGGTGCTGGCTTATCACATGGCTGTGCAGACACTGTGGGAGCATTCAAGCACCTGGGGAGGCAGAGGTTGCACAGGAAGATTTAGGTGTAATTTAGACCATTCTCAGGGAGACAGGAAGCAATTTGAGGCTGTAGAAGGTCTGCAAGAGGTAGCTGATGCACTCCAGATGCCCAGCAGAAGTGTGGGCAGGTAGAAGCTCAGCAGCACACACTGACAATTGTAGAGCTGAGAAGCAACTGGAACAGAATGGAACCAACCCTGAAACCTTGTTTAGTTACATATTAAATCCAGCTAGAGGAACTGCAGAGATAACTAAACATTGATGGGGAGAAAAGGAAGTAACAGGCAATTGTTGTAAGAACACTATCTTCACCTAGGTGCTCTAAGTATTTCATGCTTCCATAGGAACTGACATTTCTTTCATCTTCACACTTTAATCTCATTTTGTTTGCATTTACCCAAATTTCTAAAATAGCCAGAAAATTAACTTTTGCACACAATTTTTACGTAATGGATGACACAAATTATTTTCTCAGAGTACACTTAACCTGTTTTCCATAGCTTTACATCAGGCAACAGCTCATTCAAAACTTGATACACTTATTTATTCTTCTGAATTGACAGATTCGAGTTAATGCTTTTATTTTTGAGGGCCTTTTATTAAATACAGTTCACATGACAAATATAGGCTCTCCAGATTTGTAAAACTGTCTCCTAAATCCTTATCTATAGCTTAGCTCCATATTTTCTGGGGTATAAACACAATTAGAATAAGGCATACAAAGGGCTTTCAGCAACATCTTGTTTCACCCAAGACATCATTGTGCCCATCATCTTATAAGGCATTTTTTCCCATGATCAGAAAAACAAATGTAAGCTAACAATAAAATATATGAGAATATTCTGACATGTGAAACAATGACAATTTGCTTTGATTACTTCTCTCTTTGTACAGAGCTGAGGAGAATTTTTTAATTTACTACAGGTAGAAAATCCAATTTTTATATGGAGTCTGTATATTCACGCTGGTTAAAGCATTTGTATGCACATGCAAACTTATATCTTACTTTTATTCTTACTTCAACAAAAGTAAACATAATCCTATTTTTCATCAGAAGAATCTGAGATAATCAATGCTGAAGCCATTTCCAGGTTTACCCATTTTTTTCTTCAGTAACTGATATGGGCAAACTGTTTCCTGGGCTTTTTACATGAATTACAAGAATTTTTATATATAAGAACAATTATGAAGAATAAGTTCAGCTACTATTTGAATCAGCTGGATTCATATTAATGAAAACCCCACAATGGAATGGAGGATAAGCCCCCTCAGAATGAAAGTGTGGCTTTAATACACTGGCTGAGCAACTGGACACTTCCATATACACAAGAAATCTAGGTAAAGTACAACAGAAATGGAGCAACTGAGACGTGGAAAAAGGGAGAACAAGAGAGAATTATCGATTCTCTCAAATATGTGAGTCCCATTCTGATTCTCTGTAACATCCTTCCAAACCCCCAGCAGCCCTGGGGCAATAGGAGCAGCCTAATCCCACTAATGGATTAGGCTAATCCTAATGCTACTAAATAATAATACTCATTTTCAAGGAAGACATGGTACATATCCTCAGCTACAATTCATCCTTCTTCCCACACTTCAGAGAAAGAAGGTTTTATTAAGTAGCATTTTTCATTCTGACAGACATGAATGCAGGAGAGAAGCCTGCAGCTGCATTCAGCTTTTTAAAACACACTGGCAAGCACAAGTATCATTATACAGGAAATCAAGTCACCCAAAGCCTCTTCACTGTGAAGAGGGTGAGACTGGGAAGGTTCACAAAATGCTGAGAATAGAAAAAGGATCAAAAGCAATGTTCAAGGCATACACAAAGTGAAGAAAAAGGTGCTTTGAAGTCTACGCTTGTTTTCCTCCCTTTAAAAGTCTATACTATGATATGGAAATAAAAGTCAGTGTGGCGGGTGGGGGGGAAGGTCTTCACCCAGCACTTTTTCTAAATTAAGTTCCACAGTTTTGTTTTTGTTAAAAATAAGTCATTTATAATTTAACACCTGTTTCAGGATACTCAGATCTGTGGTGCTGTTAACAGCGCACTTAATTCGCATTATCCATTTAAAAAAAAAAATTAAAAAGCAGCTCTGAACTTTGCTTCTGAGATGGAAGCACTGTCTCTGAACCAGCAATCATTGCTGTCACTCTTGCTTTGCATCTTTCAAGGCCTGAAGTCTTTCTAAAAGGGGTGGGTGGGAGTAATGCCACATTGAAAAGATCCAGTCAGAAACAGGGAATCCTAAATTATCTTTGTTTAGCTTGATCAAAGCAGAATATAGGTCTTTAGCCTTCCCAAGTTCCTTGGCAAATGCATCTGCTTGAAACTCAAATCGTCGGCTTAATACTGTCAAACAAAATGAGAGAACCTGTGGAGAGAAATGTATTAAAAATTATTTTAAAATTCAGCTAGCTGCAAATTCCTTCAGTGCCAGTAAATACCACCACATCTAGCTTCCCTCATCCCACACATGGCTGTGGCTGCAGACTGATCTCACTGAGCTTTATCCAAGCCACACCTGAAACTGGGAGTGCTGCCCAACACGCAGCACTAAGCCTCATTATCAAAATGAGACACCCAACACAGCCCCTAGAAAGTCAAACTTCCCCTGACAAAACAGAATCAATATTTAAATAGGATGATACTTCAGAGTTTATGTCTTGAAAATAATTTACCTCATTGTAAGGTGAAAAAATAAACTGGAAAATAATCATCAAGCCTATCAGGGTAGGCTGGGTGTCATAGAAACCAAATGCAGCAAAGAGTTCTTTCTGACCAATTAGCACAGCAAACAAGAAGAAGCAAAGGAAGGAATTCATCTGGAGAAAAGAAAAAATGTTCTTGATTAAGATAAGTCATTACATAACATCACAATATAGATCTGCACGTGGATGCCACTGTAAAAAAAACCAAGTAGATTACTTTTGAACTAATACACAGAGAGGAACAAACAGTTGGTTTTTACCTGCTTTCTGAAAATACAACAGTAGAAACAGCACTATTTTCTGCCAGTGAGCAAAAAACAAATAATAAAGGGAGATGAAGCAAGCAGAGAAGAGAGGAGGGAGTACAGGATAGAACCCATCTCCCTGGAATTAAGTATAGGTTCTGAAAAGTTTAAAGCCAAACAAAATGTGTGTGTGCTCTGTTGTACTTCTGTTCCTGGAAACAATCTGTGCTTCCATCCAGCCGTGCAGCATCCTGTACAAACACTGTGCTTGCCTGGCTTTTCAGAGCCAAGAGGCAGGACCATGCCTTACCAAGTTTTCTAGAGGGGGTGATTAGCTATCCAAGTGGTTTTTTTGGTCTTTTTAGAGTAAAATAGAAAGTGCCAGAATATTGCTTGTTATTGAAACACACAGAACAGAAAAGAAGGATGGCTGTGATCCAGAGCAACTTCCTGTCACACAGTGTAAGTATATCAGGTACACTAACAAATCTGGAAGAGGGCATTTGGAAACAGCAATAATTACAGATGCTCCAGGAAAAAAAAAAAAACAGTTTAAAATAACTTACCTGGCTGATGATTATATTTTTGACAGTATGACCTAGTTTCCAGTGACCCAATTCATGACCAAGTACAGCCAGAACTTCTTCATTTTTACATCCTTGTTTCTTATTCTGAGGGAATAACAGAGCAGAAGCATTATCAGGTATGTCTGGACACAGACACATTAGAAAAAACAAGGGAATATCTCACCAAGAAGTTAATATAAACAACACAATGAAAGACAAACTCACTTTGGTTTTAGACTTTGCTTCTTCATTCTCACCATCTTCTCCCTCTGCTGGTTCTTTGTTGAGAGCAGAATAGTCTTCCAGGAGTGTGTCAAAGAGGACTATCCGCTTATTCTTGAAGAATCCATAGAAATAAGCATTGCTGTGGGAAGAGCGCTTAGAACCTGATGGGGAAAATTTAAACACCATGACCTGAATAATCCCATGCACAGTATGACACATCAGATTTTTCCAGAGGAATTCTCAAAGTCCCCAAATGAACTGTAGACAAACTGAAGCAGATCTGTTTGGAAGCTGAAGCATATTCTAATATCTAACTAATGATGTCTCTAATAGAGAAATGTAGTGTGTAACCACTAAAAGCACTAAAACCATAAGAGCAGTCGTGAACATCTAATGTCCAAGAAGAAAAGCTAATTCTATTGCAATTTCAGATTTAGAGTGGAAAGAGCATTCTGAATTGACACTGCTCCAGGCAAAGAACCTGTGCCAAATTATGTAAATTTTTTCAAACGTGCCAGCAAAGGTGAATGGAAACAGTTATTCCCTTTGTTTCATAGTTCTAAAATGATAATCTTTTGTGCTTCCACTCCTGACCAAGCTGTGTATTTCTATCCCACAGACCCAGAAAAATGCTTCCAACCAGACGAGTTCAGGCTGTGCACTGAGCTTAAGGAAAAAGAAGGAAAATGCTACAGACACTGGCAAGCATTGCAGTATCTGAGCAATGCAATTAACTGCCCTACTACACCATTCACAATCAATGCTAAAACCCCACAAATTTACAACTACAAAACCTTTTTATTAAAAAATTAACAAAACCTCACCTTCAACAACATACACTTTAGTCAATGGGAAGTCAATGCTC